TTGATGTCCTCATTACCGCAGTTCATCTTGTACAGAACGAAGGCAGGGCTGAATCGTCCTCGGTGTTCACAAAGGGCTCGGAACACGTAGCAAAACCATGATGAAAAAGATTCCTTGTCCCTTCACTGTGAAAACCCACCTGCTTGAAATATCGGCATTATTCTGAGCTCCTTGAATTGCTCCCTGAAAGCCGCAGTTGCAAAGATTAGGGTAGCAATGATGGCGCTCAGTTATCCTGTCGTGGCTTTGCTAAACGTTCAAAGAATTTTGAACATATAGCTATGCAAAATGGACTCCTGCTTTCATGTTTCCTGGCTTGGGTTTTAAAGCAGCACTAGGAAGCTGGCTCTCGCCTTCATTTTCATTTCCCACAATGCCTTGATGTAGCGTTCCTCTGGGGCATTGTAGGAAATTAAAATGGTGGCTAAACCCACCTGCCTGGTGCTGCCTGTTCTGTTGCTGACCTCCACCATTGCCAGGTAAGCCTGACACTGGCTACCTACCTACAGTTGTTGTTGTTGTTTAGTCATTTAGTCGTGTCCGACTCTTCATGACCCCATGGACCAGAGCACACCAGGCATTTCTGTCTTCCACTGCCTCCCAGTTTGGTCAAACTCATGCTGGTAGCTTCGAGAACACTGTCCAACCATCTCGTCCTCTGTTGCTCCCTTCTCCTTGTACCCTCCATCTTTCCCAGCATCAGGGTCTTTTCCAGGGAGTCTTCTCTTCTCATGAGGTGGCCAAAGTATTGGACCCTCAGCTTCAGGATCTGTCCTTCCAGTGAGCACTCAGGGCTGATTTCCTTAAGAATGGATAGGTTTGATCTTCTTGCAGTCCATGGGACTCTCAAGAGTCTCCTCCAGCACCAATTCTTTGGCAATCAGCCTTCTTTATGGTCCAGCTCTCACTTCGAGGACATATCAGAGGCACTATGATGCTCCCTCAACCTTGGAGCTATCTCTAGCCATATAAACCTGCTTAACAGCATCACATGGTATCTAGAGGACGACCTTCGCCCATATGAGTCTGCCCAAACATTGCAGGCACTGCTCAGATTTGTCTTGGTGCCATAGTTACATAGAACAAGAGACCTTGGTACATAGGTCTCTTGTCCTATGTAACTGATTATTGTCTCCCATGACCAGCAGTGGCACTCCATGATCTCCAGCAAAGGTTTTTAAAGCCTGCCAAGATCCTTTAACTGAACCCTGGACCTTATTTATGGGTGCCAACACAGAGCTGCAAAGTCTCACCATTATTATTGCAGTCCTCATTCGGCTTTGGTTGCCATCAAGTTTTGCCCAATGTGTGATTTAGTGAAAATGCCGTTTTGGAAAAATACATGCACAGGGACTTAGCAGAGTTCATAGATGCGGGGTGTTCAAGTTTCCCAATGTATGTGTTGTGATGCTTGGGGCAGCACCCTTTGTATTTAGTGTAGCCACCTCTTTAGGGAGGGGAGACAAGGAAACTTTCATTTTTGCTGTCCTAAACAGCTTGCCAAGAGGTTTTTAGGTTCTTGTGTGTGCAGACCTTTCCTAGGGCTGGTGCGAGCTGAATCAGAGAAACACTGTTGTTGTATGAACTGATTTGACTGGAATAAGTCTGGAATGGCTGGTACTGGTAGGGAGAATTCCACTGGAAAATGGGAACAGAAAATCACATGTTCCCCTGAGGTCATGAACGGAAATCATGCAAACAAATACCAGTTGTATTCAGTACTATTGTTTTAAGTCCACTAATGTTAGGTAATTAATTACATTATTTCGTGCATATATATATATATATATATCTATCTCGCTTCCATTGAAATGCATTTAAATTAAATTATGTAGCTAATTAATTACATGAATTTTGGCCATAGGGAATAGCAAGATGAATAACTGAGGTTTTAGCGAAGCCCAACTGTAGCAGAATGGAAACAGCAATGATGGCAATGAACCCGCGTCATGGCAGAAATTGCTGCCTCTTTACACTCCTATCTGTTGGTTACACTTTTCTGGATGTAGCAAATGCAATGCCTGAGAGCTTTGCGCAAGGAATGTGCAACAGTTTTATATATAACAACTTATCACTGCACATGTTCTCAGTGTCTTTAAGTAGGTCAACATTGTTCTTCAAATATGAACACTCCTTTCAGGAAACATTTATTTTTACATAAAAACCTTTTATTTTCAGTAGTGCATAAACTAATTTTTCTTCACAAGAGTCTTTGTTATAGCTGAGTTCTGAGAGCATAAGTTGGCTCTAATGTGTCAATGCAATGCAACCTGGGAGGAAGATAATGTGCCATCCTAATTCAAAGGTATTATTTCATTTCGTTTTTAATTTTGAATACTGCCTTTCTACATTTCTGTATTCAAGGCATTCTCCATTTTTTCCAAAGTGCGGGAAGAAGTTTCTTGACAGCTTAATGGGATTCATTTCCTTTGTCGAAGGAAGTACGGGCAATGTAAAAGAAGTCTTGCAATAATACTTCTTGATTCGCAAATGTGTATGTTTGGCAGGAAGCAATTCTGCAGAGAGGTGCTACGCCAACTCTGTATTAGTCTCCGAAAACAACAGTCCAGCACGCCGTTTCTTTCTACAAAAGGCTTGACATTTGGAAACAGGAGAACAAACTTGGCGCATCGTTGAGGCTGCAATTCCATGGCCCCTGTGATCGCATCCTGGAGATGACTGTGGGATATCAGATCTTGCTCTCAAACCTCTGGCACCAGAGAGGTAGAACGAATACCAAACCTCTCCTCCCTGCCACTGCGAAATTCTATCCCAACCAACATTGGTGGGACCCCAGAGTGTCTGTCAGGAAGAGTAGCAAGTGAAGAAGAAGAAGAGTTTGGATTTGATATCCCGCTTTATCACTACCCAAAGGAGTCTCAAAGCGGCTGACATTCTCCTTTCCCTTCCTCCCTCACAACAAAGTGATTTGTACTCAGAGGTGTCTCAGCTGCCTGGCCTAAATCTTTCCCTCCCCTTGTTTCCATTGGGAAGAAAGACGTTGTTTGAGGAAAAGCACTGTGGCGTTTGCCCTCCTAGGTGTGTTCGAAAGCACATCAACGTGCAAGTAGAGAAATAGGTACCGCTCCGGCGGGAAGGTAAACAGCGTTTCCATGCGCTGCTCTGGTTCGCCAGAAGGGGCTTAGTCATGCTGGCCCCATGACCCGGAAGCTGTACGCTGGCTCCCTTGGCCAATAAAGCAAGATGAGCGCCCCAACCCCAGAGTCGTCCATGACTGGACCTAATAGTCAGGGGTCCCTTTACCTTTATTGTCTACTCTGACTGGCAGCTGCTTTCCAGGGTTTCAGACATTGAGAACCTGGGACTTCCTGCATTTTAAGAGATGCTCTAACTCTGAGCTACAGCCCTTTTCTGAGACTGTGCCTTTATGTTGCAACGTTCGGGGTTTCCCATATCCAGTCCTACACAGATTCCTAATCTGCAACAGATCATCTGTTTCTCAGCCTAACCTACAGGGTTAATATGAAACTAACACAGCTTTGAGGACTTTGGAAACAGGATGGGATAAATAAATAAATGAAGGCTTTTAGCCGAGCTACTGTTTGCTCTCTCTGTATATTTGCTTTACGGTGCAGTGAAGGACAGACAGAATCCAAGGTGAGGGAGGAGAGGTCTGGGACCCTCTTGAATTATTATATTTTAGCATCTGCTGCAGTTGGCTGGGTTTGTGAACAGGGTGCATCTTTAATAAAAGTTCAATATATTGTTACGGAAATTACCGGGGGGGGGCACATCTTTAAAGTTAAATGTTACAAATATTATGCCTGAATGTATCCTTTCAACCATAGCTGTCAACTTACAGATTTGAAAATAAGGGACCAGCAGCCAAAATAAGGGATCTGCAGCCTCACCTGTTCCAGGCACGCCAGTCTTCCTGTCCTCCTGCAGTCTGGTCAAACTCATGCTGGTAGCTTTGAGAACACTGTCCAACCAACTTTGTAACCAGAGGTTCAACTGAATAGAATCTGAATCACATGCACCACAAGGCCTATGCAGCCTCAATTTAAGATGGCTCCCTGGCCTGGCTTTGCACTGCAAAGTTTGCAGCAGCACGTGCAACAAAATGGCGTCCAGCATTCAAAAACCCCCTCAGCTTGCATTAACTAGCCACACACACGGCATGCAAGCTCAACCCCACAGTCGTTCTTAGACTTTTTATTGGGTGAGCAACACAGCCAAGAAACACAGGTGGAGCCTCCCTCCTCCCTGGCCGGCAGGGAGGAAGGGAGAGGAGTTGCTTCCTTTGAAATTTAAGGGACATCATTTAAGGGACGTTTAAGGGACATCCATCAATAAGGGACAACAGCGGGACATGGCGCTGGAATAAGGGACTGTCCCTTCAAATAAGGGACACTTGACAGCTCAGGGAAGTTACCTAGCTTTAAAAATAATATAAAATCAACCCCTTTGCCAGTTTCCTCCATTCCAAAGCTATTTTCCCCTTGAAAAAGGACTCCAGGAAGTGCCCAGAGGTGACACTTGCTGAGCTGATTGTTGGCCAAGGAAAGCCTAATCCCATCACCAGACTTGCCAAGGAGTCCAGACATGCAAAGGAAGTTCTATTGGGTGGTGGGACTTCAGAGGTGTTTGCCTATGCTAATCTTATACCTGAGTCTTGCCCTGCCATGCCTGCTTATGCTAATCTTGTACCAAGACATGTTTGCCAAGGTTAAACTAGTGTAACCCCTGTCTACCCCTCCCCTTTGGTGACATGTCAGTGATGTAGCAATGATGCTGTACGAACTGTATTCTGGGATATGGTGGGAAAGTTTTAAAAGTCTTTGTCACCCCATCCTCGGGGTTCAAATTTCCTCTTTGAACCTATTGCGGAATAAACTTTGGTCTACAGCTATTTGCTGGTTGGTGGCTGGAATCCTTCCTTTATTCTGCAGAGACCCGCGGGCTCTGCCCGATGAGCTGGGTGACTGAGCAGCCTCACACCTAGATTTTTCTGTAACAATATGGACATCTGGTATGCATTTAAAGGTTAAAAAGTTTTCATATTTAATTTCCAGGTTTCTTTTTTTTTAGATCTCATACACTCTGCAATACACAATATTCCAAATTCATGTTGAAATGAAATCCACAGTCGAAGTATATACAAAATCTCACATTACAAACACTTCTTTGCATAAAGGCAATTCTTTTCCCCCTTTCCCCTTTTATAAAGCAGCAGCTGATTATTTATTCTGGGATTGTCACTTCATTTTTCTTGTTTTCCAGGCTCATCTGTGCCTGCTTTGCTTGAAAGCGGTGTACTTCTTTATGGTGTTCTCCGACTGCCTTTGCAGCTCTTCAATGTGAGAGTTTAAAACCTGCTCAAAATCTCTCGCTCGCTTCTCCTCCTCTTGTAGGAATTTCTCTGTCACCGTTGCAGGAAATGGAGTCTCTGGGGAAGCCTGAACGACACAAAGAATTGGCACAATTAGGACGGGGTATAATTAGCCAGCTTTTCTTATTAGCTTGCACACTGACAATACTGCACTGGTGAAACAATCTCTCCTTCTTTTGCACCTTCTGTTCCACAGAGTACTTAGCTCAGCTAGTGGTATTACATCCCGCTGGGATAAGTCCGTGTCTATAACGGGACGCCACTGCCATCAAATTGGAAGAAGAAAAACTACAATAACCATGCTGGGGCGGATCCCTTATTTAAGGTTCCTTACTATAAAAGCGCATGAACACCAGTATTTTAACATTACTGAAACTCTGCCTCATTTCACATCTTAAATTTTAAGTCTTGATCTATGTGTTTCTTATTCCAAAGAGGTATCCAATCTCTGCATTTGTCTTAAAACCATATGCATCACCATTTTTTTCATAAGCTAACTTAATGCGGTTTAGAGTATAAAGGGTCATGTACGCGGGTTAAACCACAGAGCCTAGGACTTGCTGATCAGAAGGTCGGTGGTTCGAATCCCCGCCATGGGGTGAGCTCCCGTTGCTCGGTCCCTGCTCCTGCCAACCTAGCTGTTCGAAAGCACTCCAAAAAGTGCAAGTAGATAAATAGGTACCGCTCCGGCGGGAAGGTAAACGGCATTTCCGTGCGCTGCTCTGGTTCACCAGAAGCGGCTTAGTCATGCTGGCCACATGACCCGGAAGCTGTATGCCGGCTCCCTTGGCCAATAAAGCGAGATGAGCGCCGCAACCCCAGAGTCGGCCACAACTGGATCTAATGGTCAGGGGTCCCTTTACTTTTACCACATAAAAACATGCCCATTAAAAAAAATAATCCTGTATCACAAAATAGCAAGCATGGAGGTACAGCACTAAAATAGCATAGCTAAGAGATCAATCGACTAAAATCCTCCTGGAACAATCACATTTGGGCCAGATCCCTAAAAGAATGACATGCTTGGGACAGATCAGTTTCCCAGGAGAGGGCGTTCCACAAAGTAGGCCACTGTCAAAAAGGCAGCAGGTGTATGCTGAACCTCATTTATCCAAGCAATCTGGAGCAAGGCCTTAGATTTTTGAAAGGTGCGTGTGGGGAGGAACATATCAAAAGAGGCAGCCCTTGGGGAAATTTAAGGTTTTAAAGGTTAAAACCAACACACTGAATCAAACCTGGGAAGTTTCTGAACAGTTTTCAAGGGCAGATCCTGTGTGTGTGTGTGTGTGTGTGTGTGTGTGTGTGTGAATGGCATGAACCAAAGTGGCGTGGTTGTGGCTTAGGCAGGAAGGTTTGTTGTAGCTAGCATACCACCCAAAGCTTCGAAAGAAAAGCGTACCTCTCACCACTGATGCCAGCTGCACATGCAGCCGCATCAAGGAGTACTCCCAAAGCTGTGATCCTGATATTTTAGGAGCAGTGAAATGACATCCTAAAAAGGCAGGTCAGCTAACCCTGTAGGTTAACCCACTAGCACCGAGGGTTTGTCCTCCCTCTGCTGCTGCCGCCGCTGCCACCTGATCTCCTCAAGAGTAGGGGAACAAGCAGCAGAATCCAAACTTCTGGTTTGGCAACTTCAGCCCATCTACACTCCGCTCTCCCAGCAGCGTAGACCCGGCAGCCTAAACCACATGGCCAGCCCCTGAGGCCAGTACAGCCCAGAAAGCCAATTTAAGCAATTTATTCAAAAGGAGGATGTGTAAATAGAAAGAGGAGAAAGAAATAGCAAGGGTGTGGCTCAAACTTGAAATAAAACATTATAGGTCTAACTAACACATCACTTGATCCAAACTAACATTGCTAAACACACGGTCACCTCTGGTCCTGGCAGCTTCAGAAATCAGTTGCAGGTTAGACGGGAGCAAGAGGGACAAGAACTGCCTTGAAAGAGTAACCTTCTAAAGAGCCCCTGAGCCAGGTGGGTCTTGATTGACACGTGGCCATGTCCTGCCAATCATCTCTCAGGTCAAGATGGTCAGCTTGACACCTTTTTTTATAGGCTGGTGGTGAGGAGATGGCAGACACCTCCTGGGAGCAGGAAAAGATGGCTGCCGAGGGTGTAATTCACTGCCAGGTTTCTCTATCTCCTTGCTAGATAGAATTTAATTAGGCACTTGTCAGGGCCATCTTCAGCATATCCAGTGCTGTGGTGCAAAGAGCCCTCCTGTGCCCCCCTCCCGGTTTCCCAGAGTTGCCAACTTTTTTTAGGGAGGACGGCACTGCCAGCGATGTGCCCAGCTTTGCGGGGCTGGAGGAGGCGGGCAGCGGCTGGAGGGCAGCTCCTCCGGTGGGGAAGAGGCGGAGGCTGGACGCGGCGGCTCGCGGCCTAGCTGGCCGCTTTGTGCCATGGTGGCCACAGCAGATGGAGGCTCCGGGCGCGACGCTGCATGGTGGAGGTGGGCGAGGGCGGCGAGCTGATGCAGGGAGGGACTGCGTCCACCCTCCGCCTCTTCCACTGGCACCCCCCAGAACTTGGTGCCCTGGCGCCCTGCACCACTAGCCTCTATGGGTAAGACGGCCCTGGCACTTGTGTATTTAAGAAAGGACCTGTCTTCTTGTCCAAAGTATAATGGAGGACAAGAGACCAAACTTCCTCACAGGCTGCACACCTAACTCTGAGTCAGATCATCCATCCACCAACAGCATTTCCAGCTTGTCTGGATTAAGTTTCAATTTGTTCTGTCCCATCCAGTCCTTTGCGGCTGACAGACAGCATTTAAGGGCTCCATTACCTCCCCATGTTCAGAAGGCAGTGATTGAGCTGGGTATCATTTACATACGCAGCCAAATCTCTGAACAGCTGCTAAGCAGCATGGGAAGAAAAGAGAAAAACTCCAGAGGCCGCAAGCCAAAGGAAAGAGCAGCGAAGTCCTAGTGCTACCTTCTGGGTCCTACCTCACAGGACTGAGCAGAGCCGACTCGAGATGGGGCTCCTAATAGCCACACCTGCCAAGGCATCCCAGAAATGCACCACAGTTAATGGTGACTAAACACCACTGAGATGGCCAGGAGAATCAAAGGATCACACTCCCTCTGTCCCAGCACAAGTCATGGACAAGGGTAACCAAAACAATTGCAGTCCAAAGCCAGAAAGGAAGAGTCCCTGATAATCGGTTTTACCCAGAAACCCAGAACTAAGTTGCAAAACACACACACACACACACACACACACACACACACACACTCTTTGCCAACAGGTAACAGTTCAAATCAGAGCGTTCCTATTATTATTTCCAATAAAAGCTACACTACACTTTACTTCAGTACCAAAGGAAGGAAGCCTTCTCTAAGGGAAGTGTTCATCACTGAGCTGTTTTCACAAAGTGAGGGTCAAGTAGACACAGGACGCCCCGCACTTCTTCAAGAATCTTGTTCATACCTTGTGCGCTGTTTTAAAGGTTTTGAAGCTAAGTGCTTGTTCACACACACATATTAATTGTTTTTTGATTGCAGCATCAAGTGATGCCCTATTACAGGTTAATCACCACACAAGATTTTTCATAGCACTTGACCCCTCTTCCAACAAAATACTTTTGTTGAGAGTGATCCGGAGACCAAGGGAAGCAAATACATTTGTGAGACTTCAGAACAGCTTGAAGGTGCTTCCATTCATAAGGCTGGATTCAACAAAATAGTTGCACAAGGAGGAGCCAGGCCAGTAAGTCCCACTAGTGCAATGGGGCTTTCCTCTCCTCTCCTCTCCTCTCCTCTCCTCTCCTCTCCTCTCCTCTCCTCTCCCCTGCCCACCCCCACAATTGGCTCAGGGTTCAAATTCAAGTGGCATCAGCATTACGAAAGATGCGGTTTTTAAAACTGAACATCATCATCGTTATCATTCCAACAGTTTTATGTACTAAGTTTGTTTGTTTATTTCAAATCAAATTTGGCAAAGCAAGGAAGGAGTCAGAGTAGCCTAAGGGGTGATGCAAATCTAGTTTGTGACTAAACCTTCACCTGCCAATTAAATCAACTAAAGCTTATATCCCTGCACCCACCACACGAATTCTACCTGCTTTTAATTCCCAGGTGCTTGTGTAAATAAAAGTCCTGCAAGGTTGGGGGCTGAGACATGCCGGCCATTAGGACCGTGATGCGGGGCGGTAGTTTTGCACTGGATTCAGCCTCAATGTCTGTGGTGCCAGAACTCCGAGGATCAAGCAGCTCCCAAGGATCTGTAGCACAGATGGGCAAGATGGCTGAGGCCAATGTGCAATAGCAGCTGACCTTGCCTTATGCTGCAATCCCACCCGGATGGGGTGCAGAGCTTATTTTCAGCCAGAGGACGCTGGAGTGCAGTTCCAGCACCTCTCAGGTGGGCGCCATTGCAGGCCGGCGTACCCCCTGCCCGCTTCTTGCCTTTATGTGTTCATGGGCTGGGTGTTCATCAGTATGCAGATGACACCCAGCTCTACCTCTCCTTTAAATCAGAACCAGTGAAGGCGGTGATGGTCCTGTGTGAGTGTCTGGAGGCGGTTGGAGGATGGATGGCGGCTAACAGATTGAGGTTAAATCCTGACAAGACAGAAGTACTGTTTTGGGGGGACAGGGGGCGGGCGGGTGTAAGGGACTCCCTGGTCCTGAATAGGGTAACTGTGCCCCTGAAGGACCAAGTGCGCAGCCTGGGAGTCATTTTGGTCCCACAGCTGTCCATGGAGGCGCAGGTTAATTCTGTGTCCAGGGCGGCTGTCTACCAGCTTCACCTGGTATGCAGGCTAAGACCCTACCTGCCGGCGGACTGTCTCGCCAGAGTGGTGCATGCTCTAGTTATCTCCCGCTTGGACTACTGCAATGCGCTCTACGTGGGGCTACCTTTGAAGGTGACCCGGAAACTGCAATTAATCCAGAATGCGGCAGCTAGATTGATGACTGGGAGTGGCCGCCGAGACCATATAACACAGGTCCTGAGAGATCTGCACTGGCTTCCAGTACGTTTCTGAGCACAATTCAAAGTGTTGGTGCTGACCTTTAAAGCCCTAAACGGCCTCGGCCCAGTATACCTGAAGTAGCGTCTCCACCCCCATCGTCCAGCCCGGACACTGAGGTCCAGCACCGAGGGTCTTCTGGCGGTTCCCTCACTGCGAGAAGTGAGGTTACAAGGAACCAGGCAGAGGGCCTTCTCAGTAGTGGTGCCCACCCTGTGGAACACCCTCCCTTCAGATGTGAAGGAAATAAGCAGCTATCCTATCTTTAAAAGACATCTGAAGGCAGCCCTGTTTAGGGAAGTTTTTAATATTTAATGCTGTACTGTTTTTAACATTTGATTGGGAGCCACCCAGAGTGGCTGGGGAGACTCAGTCAGATGGGTGGGGTATAAATAATAAATTATTATAATTATTATTATTATACGCACTTCTGAGAAGCCCCAAATGAACATTTCAAGTCAAAACGGAAGCTGGCCATTGTGTGCAAGTCTACACTTTTTTTTAGATCTCTGACTCTACCTAGCTCCTAGCTGCTCCTAGCTGCAATTGGTCAAGCCACGGGGCGGGGCCAATTCATATTTCCTTTTCTTCTATCTGTCTCCCGCGTATTCGCAATGGGCTTTAAGCTTTCCAGCTAGGCCTTTACCATTGCATGCGTTTGTGTGAGGGCCCTTCTGAGCTGCCCATGCCATCTGCTTCCTTTGCACAAGCTGCCTGAGTCTGATTCACCCCGTCTCTACTCTGCTCCCTTCAAACTTTTCCTGAACATCCTCAGGAGAGACTTTTCACAGGACTGTCAAGAATGGCAAGAAAGCTCGATTGCCCAGCAACCTTCCACTCGCCCAAGTTGTGGATGCAACCCAGTGTTTCTCTTACAAAACAAGATCTGGAGATTCTTACCATCCGGATTTCATCTGCAACATAGATTTGGCTCAGTAGCGTCTCAGACTTGTTCTTTTCAGAGAGGCAGCTGCTGTAATGTGCTGGATACGCCTCTTGGGGTGATGGAGACCTGCCATCTGCTGTGGGTTCTCGGGTTCTGCTTGGTCTTTGAAGAGGCAGCGTGCAGCTGTTCTCGACGCTGACAATGTCGCCTTGGCCCTGCCAGGAAGGAATCTGCGTTCTGTAGTGCCCGAAGTTTTCGTAAGCTGCAGGTTGCGGTGCCCATTCGCTTTCATTCTGCGCAGGTCTAAAAGACAAATTAAAAGGTTTACAAGCTGGTTTATTGCCAGGAAATATTTGCTGACATGAAACAGTCTTTTCCAAAATGTCCCATGGAATGTGGCTTCACAGGACTCCAGAGTGAGGTCTCCTTTTGGGCTGGAGGGCAGAAGAAACATTCAACTTTGAAATTTGGCTTGACTTTTGCCAAATTTGTGTGGGATGTGAAACACCAGAACAGTCAAGTACAACATTCCTAGAGTGAACATGTTTACACATGGGGAGGAATGTTTGTCCAGCCAGCAGGTAAACTTCCTGTTTCCTTCTGGGCTGGGACAGACTTCCTCTGCATGTGACTAGAGGTGGGCGTGGCCTCACCTGTGCAGGTAACGACAAAAGCACAGGGCAGGGCAGCCATCTCTCTCTCTTTCACTACATGCACTGAAGAAGCAACATCTGCTTAGCCAAAGATGCTCTCTTGGCTCCAGCCAAGAGAGGACAAAGGGACTGTCTTCTTATGAGACAGATTCTAGGTGTATGTTACTTTTCTAAGCTAAGTCTACCTTCTGGGATCCTATTGTGAACAGAATGATGTGTGAGTAAACTCTTTTTATACTTTTATAGAAGATTGTGTCGTGTCTTATCTTTTATGAGGGAATAAGGGGAAAATACAAGAACAGTTATTATAGAGGCTTTAGCGAGCCTGAGCAAACGCATCCCCTGCAAGTTTAAAAGGGGGGATGTTACTCTGCTAAATTGTGAACTTGTTAACACAAGTTGGAAAGGCTATAATCAAACAATATATCCTCTTCTGCATCCCTGAACATTCCCACAATTTGCAGTCCAACGTTTTCATTGCATATGCAAGATGCTGACCATACATTTGAATGGAAAGGCCATGGGAAGGCCAAAGTATTCACAGCCCATTTTAAATTGTACGGATGTATTAACTCAGACCATTGGCCCATGGAATCTAGTACAGGCAAGGGCCTGGGGGGCCTTTGTGCTGGCATGTCCCTTTGACAATCGCCAGGGCACCTTCCCTAACTCGTAGACAGCCTTTTAACTGGGGATTGAGCCTGAGGCCTTTTGCATGTCTAATTCCCCAAGTTCTTCCATTTGTGCTAATAATCCACTACACAATGCCCACCCCTGTAACAAATACCATGCTTAATCTGGCCCTAACTGCGTTTCCCAGCACAATTCAAAATGCTGGTGCTGACCTTTAAAACCCTAAACGGCCTCGGTCCAGTATGTCTGAAGGAGCGTCTCCACCCCCATCGTTCAGCCCGGACACCGAGATCCAGCGCCGAGGGCCTTCTAGTGGTTCCCTCACTGCAAGAAGTGAGGTTACAGGGAACCAGGCAGAGGGCCTTTTCTTCTCAGTGGTGGCACCCGCCCTGTGGAATGCCCTCCCATCAGATGTCAAGGAAATAAACTACTATCTGACTTTTAGAAGACATCTGAAGGTAGTCCTGTTTAGGAAAGTTTTTAATGTATGACATTTTACTGTGCTGTTAATTTTCTGTTGGAAGCTGCCCAGAGCGGCTGGGGAAACCCAGCCAGATGGGTGGGGTATAAATAAATTATTATTAATTATTGTTATTATTGTTGTTGTTGTTGTTGTTGTTATTATTATTCAGTGGAGACACACTTTCTACTGTTTATTCTGAAGTTATTTCTAATCAGTTTCTGCCGGGTAAGTCGTAGGGATCGATCTGTCAGTTTCTGTTCCCTCCGCTTTTCATTTTTTCAATCTTAAAATCAATTCTCCACATTCCTGCAGCAATTTGTGAATTTTTGAAGAGAAATCCTCTTGAAAATTCTTCAGTATTTTATCCTAATAAACATATTTTTGTATTCAGTTTTGAATTGTGTGTGCATTTTGAAGGCAATTTTTCCTAATGCTTTTTTTGCATGTCATTTTCACTTATTCATTTTTTAATGCACATCCCCCCCACTATAAACATTGTTTGGAGAGATGCATTGTAAAATTCAAATAAGTGCAAATTTCAAAGGATGGCTGTGCTTTGGTTCTTACGCTGTTTAAGAACATGCACATTTGATTTGGCTTTAAATGTGAACCAAATTCAATTTCTCCCCCCTCCTTAGTGAGTGTTAGCCTTCAGTAATGGCTGCTGCAAATCTCACACTGAGGCTTTCTTGGAGATTACACACTTCTTATTCTATACAGCTACAAACTGAAGGAAACAATTGCGAAGTTACTAGCACTGACTCGATTTTTATTTTTTTATTTTTGCTTTCCACTGGGCAAATGTTACCAAGACGCATAAACATAAACAGCACAAAGACATTAGCATGGCATCTGGAAATTGCCAATTACCAACTCATTTCCCCCAAAAAACCTCACCACATGTTTTCTATTTTTACTATCTCAAAGATATCCTTTTACCCTTCATTCCTTGGCATAATTACCATGGAAACAGAACAGCAAATTAAAATAGAAAAACATGGTTTATGTCCGCAATAAAATAAAATATACCCTAGAGTCAAAATAAGCTAGCAACAATAGCTTGATTTGTCTGCTTCTGTTTGATGTTTGATAATATAACTGAGGCTTTTGGGAGAAAATATTGGTGCCTTTCCTGATTTACAAAACCAGAACCTAGATACTAGGATTTCTGGCATATGTTTAAAACTATGTATGAATTTTCATGTTGAGGCACCACAATTTGTGGATAAACTATATGGACTTGACATCCGCATTAAATCAATCTATATTCATATTTGCCTAGCGATCGCTGCTGTGGTTTTAACAATTAAGTCTGGATTGTGTGCTCTACCAACAACCCAGTTGTGGCACCTTGTTCTCATCACAGCACGCTCCCAAAGTCAACCACTGAAACTTTATGCATCTCACAATAGTCTATGGAATAACCAAGAGGTCCATAGCCCACATAGGAAATCCTTGCCCATTCTGACAACCAGTTGTTAATAAATAATAATAATAATAATAATAATAATAATAATAATAATTTATACCCCGCCCATCTGGCTGAGTTTCCCCAGCCCCTCTTTGGGCAGCTTCCAAGCAAGTGTTAAAAACAATACAGTATTAAATATTAAAAACTTCCCTAAACAGGGCTGCCTTCAGATGTCTTTTAAAAAGAAGATAGCTGCTTATTTCCTTCACATCTGAAGGGAGGGCATTCCACAGGGTGGGTGCCACTACCGAGAAGGCCCTCTGTCTGGTTCCCTGTAACCTCACTTCTCGCAGTGAGGGAACCGCCAGAAGGCCCTCGGTGCTGGATCTCAGTGTCCAGGCTGAACGATGGGGGTTAAGATTTTGCTACCCCCAGATCAGAGAATGGTATTGCACGATCCAGGTAAGCGATCTTAGCATATACATTTCTGTCTACCCATCAGCCTGGCCCTATTTTGCAAAGGAAAAGGAATTAGTAGCCTCTTGGGAGATGTTCGAGGTAGGGCAGTTTTGCTACACAAATTCTGAGGACCAGGTGCAGGTGGGGTCATACATGGGATGTTCAAGCAAAGGTAAAGGAGTTCTGGAAAGATTTCAGCTGGGGTTCAGCTTGGATTTGGAAGACAAGTAACCATTTGTGTTGCTCTGACAAGTCCCATCAATGGGCAGAGAGGGTGTTGTGCGAGAAAGGAATGAGTGCTAGGAATTCAAGCAACTTTGGAAGGCGAGAAATCACTGGAGTTCGACAGCAGCAGATCTGTAGGGTAGCAAGGCTCAGATGGATTATTGGGGGAAACTGCAAAGCCAATGACCCCCCTCCAAATCAGCACTCTCTGGAAGTTTTTATGGGTTTGTTGTTGTTGTTTAGTCGTTTAGTCGTGTCCGACTCTTCGTGACCCCATGGACCAGAGCATGCCAGGCACTCCTGTCTTCCACTGCCTCCTGCAGTTTGGTCAAACTCATGCTGGTAGCTTCGAGAACACTATCCAACCATCTCGTCCTCTGTCGTCCCCTTCTCCTTGTGCCCTCCATCTTTCCCAACATCAGGGTCTTTTCCAGGGAGTCTTCTCTTCTCATGAGGTGGCCAAAGTATTGGAGCCTCAGCTTCTGGATCTGTCCTTCCAGCGAGCACTCAGGGCTGATTTCCTTCAAAATGGATAGGTTTGATCTTCTTGCAGTCCATGGGACTCTCAAGAGTCTCCTCCAGCACCATAATTCAAAAGCATCAATTCTTTGGCAATCAGCCTTCTTTATGGTCCAGCTCTCATTTCCATACATCACTACTGGGAAAACCATGGCTTTAACTATACGGACCTTTGTTGGCAAGGTGATGGTCTCTACTTTATGGGTTTACAGGTCCTCAACTGAGCCCGTCTCTCTGGTGTATCTCAGACTTAGGGCCTGTCCAATGAACACTCATGTCTCACAAGGCCCCAGTACTAATTCTCAGGCATTTCACATATTGACATATTTCTACCTCCCAGAATTGCAGTCAGGTTACTTTTTCTTTTTACTCCTTCCCCTGTGAAATTTTGGTCCTCTGCCTTTGTTTTAATTTAAAAAAAATCAGTGTGATTTTTCCTAACATGAACATTTTTGCAAGCAGTTTCCCCTAGAATAATTCATTTTTATATGTTGCCTTTACCAATATATGCATTTTGATGCATACGTTCCCGTAATATGCACAATTTTCTACATCTTATTTGGTTAGAGAACTACACTACAAAATTTAGGGGAAATGTGAATTTCAATGCACAGCTGTCTTTCAGTTTGCATATTCTTTTGGAAAGAGCAAATAGCTTTGCCGTAAAAGCCAAACTAGAATGAATTTCTCTTCTTCTTCCTACCATTTAAAATATTTCATCTTATCCAAACTTCATACCTTCTTCTTTCGTTTTAAGTAGGCAATTCAGGATTATTTTTCAACTGTGTGTGTCAGTATTTATGAAACATTTAAGGTAATTCAGTGGGCGACTGGCTAAAAATGAACGAGCCAGAGAGATATTTACAAATTATTTCTTTCTATTGAGCTCAGGATATTGTTATATATTGCGCTGCTCTTTCATGGCGCGTATGAGTTTAATGTGATATTAATTTATTCAGTACCATCTGAAATGCTGCAGCTTTTCATGTCAACTCAATGGGGAGCACTAAAAATCACAAAAAAAGCATTGAAACACTTTTAATGAAACTTTAAAAAACTGAAACTGGCAGGAGAGAAAGAGATGATAGATGGCAGGTGTAGTTCAAGATGCTTATTAAAATAATCTCCTGCTGAGCAGTTTACATCTCACACTGGCTTCTCTGGCCCTCACTTAATTTTTTTTTATTATTAGACAGTATTAACATATTCTCTGTGGCTTGTAAAATGAAAAGCAAGGGGGAGAATCAAGATAATATATTACAAAAGGTTGTATCCAAAGTAGTGCTGAGAAGCAGGGCAGCGGGAGTTCTGTTGCATTAGGGGAAATCCTTTTGCTGATGGACTGTCCCATCCAAAAGTTTATGTGGCTATGACACAAAAGGTTATGTCTATTTCTAAGATTTGGAAGCACCTGACTTAGCACCAAAGACCTCTTCTGAAATATCGTACATAGTTCTGGGCTGGATAACCTTAGATATATGGCTCTGAGAGCAGATCCAGTATTCAAGATGTGTTGGTGGGGGAAAATATAGAAAAGAGAATTTCCGGATGCCAAGATCCAAGGACAACCCCAGCAGAGAATAAAAAACCAGAAGACATGCAGCAAAGCAAAGCGTAGAAATACAGTAGTACCTTGGGTTACGTACGCTTCAGGTTACAGACGCTTCAGGTTACGGACTCCACTAACTCAGAAATAGTACCTTGGGTTAAGAACTTTGCTTCAGGATGAGAAAAGAAATCGTGCAGCAGTGGTGCAGTGGCAGCAGGAGGCCCCATTAGCTACAGTGGTACCTCAGGTTAAGAACAGTTTCAGGTTAAGAACGGACCTCCAGAACGAATTAAGTTCTTAACCCGAGGTACCACTGTGTAGGCTGTTAGAACTTTAAAATATGTGCCCCTCCAAGTGAGTTCCAAAAGGTCCCCTTAAAAAGTTTCTTTCCAAAATTTCTACCTTCTCCCAGCATAGGAAAAGACAACACGTTTGGTAAGTTAAAAATGGGTTTACTTACAAAGGCTTCAAAGGTCAGGTTCATGCACTTCCAAAAAGTTGTGCAGACAGTAGAACTTAGCTTAGTTACAAAATGGTGTAAGTTTCTAGATCATTGGTATAGGAACTCAAGAGAATCAGGGAACAATCAGCTCAAACCTCTCCACACGCTGAGCATCTCAGGTAGACAATACAAAAGTAGGCTTGATTACAAAGTGGCCTGGCAGGACAGCCTGCTCTATGGCATTAACCCCTTTATGCACTAACTAGACATGTTGGTTATATGAGGCTGGCTATCCCACAACATGAGACCAAGGAGATTGTAAAATATCTGTTCTTTCTCATCTTCCAATTCAATTTTAGAGAATCTGCAATAACGCATACAATATTCTTTTTGAGGTAATCTCTTAAGAAATACCCTTAATGAACTAAGAAAAAGCTTGAGCTTCAATAAGATTCACAAATCCCAGACAAAGTTGATCTCCTTCATCCCAGGCTGGGACAAAGAACGCAACTTCCCCCAAAGAATCCCGAGAGCTGTAATTTATCCTACACAGAGCTACAATACCTAGCATCCCGAACTATAGTTCCCAGGATTGTATGAGGAAAGTAATGTGCTTAGGAAGTGAGAGAGGCTGAAATCTGTCCCATTCTTGTTCATCACTGCAGCCGACAGTGGGCCAATCAGAACACAGAGAAGAAAAACTATAGAGGTAAAAAACTATAGAGGAGCAACTATCCACATTTTATCAATAAGCCAAGACCTGCAACTGTGGTTCTAATGCCTGTAGTGTTGGTAGTTTTCCCCAATGGGTAGATGCTCCCTGTTTCTGCCATATACAAATGGAAAATTAGTACAGTCGTACCTTGGAAGTCGAACGGAATCCAACTTTTGAAACGGTTCGGAAACCAAGGTGTGGCTTCCAATTGGCTGCAGGAAGCTTCTGCAGCCAATCAGAAGCCATGTAAGCTGTGTCGAACGTCCGGGTTCCAAAGAACGTTTGCAAACCGGAACAATCACTTCTGGGTTTGTAGTGTTTGGGACCCAAAACGATTGACTCACAAGTCTTTCGAGATCCAAGGTACGGCTGTATTGTGGAAGAAGAAAAACAGGATTTTCCATTAAATGTTTTCAGAATCAGGAAAGCTTCCATGTGAGCCTTGTGCCAAATTCAGTAACACTTAGAAATTATTGCTGCACAGATAAATAAAAATAAATTCCCACGCCAGACCTCTGAGGTTTACAAGGGGCGAAGCTTGTTGCACCACCTTTGCAGAATGCAGAGGTAAGGTAAATTGGTTATTATTTCGAAGAAATCCTAGCAAGATGCCTAAAAGCAAGAAATAGCAGGTGCTTAAGACAATCCAAAGCAATTTAATAGGAATAAAACACACACGCTCATGTGTTTCATCAGGAGTTATCATAAAAGCTTCATAGCTCGGTTAATATATATGCCAATTTCTCAGTCATCTACAAGTCTATGGCTAGACCTCAGCGGTGTGCTTCCATTATTAACTAGTTGCTGTATAGATTACGTTTCCAATTCTGATGGAGCCGTGAAACTGATAATAGCGTGTAGGGCAGTACTGATGTGATTTGTCATGGAATTTACTCTGGGCGCTTCCAGTCTGTCACAGTTTCCGGGTGGGATTCAGTCACGCATTGGCAGGTTCAGGTTGTGCAACTGTAGTTGGGATGCCTTGCATAGCTAAAAGATCAATCCTTTTTTGAGATAAGGAAAGTGATGAGAAAATGCTCTGAAAAGGAGAAGATGTTTTGATGCAACGTCATCTAGCCCCCGCCAACAAATCAGACCCGAGTTCTAATTAAACAGCCAACATTGTCTAATCTCCCTGCAAATAAATCAGGATGAGTGCTTCAGGATGAGGGCTAGAGCAATTCCCCTGTGAGGGGGAAAAAGGTAGTAATAACTGGGCTTTTTTAGTTACAGGTAGGTAGCCGAGTTGGTCTGCCGTAGTCAAAACAAAATAAAAAAAATCCTTCCAGTAACACCTTTGTTGTTGTTTAGTCGTTTAGTCGTGTCCGACTCTTCGTGACCCCATGGACCAGAGCACACCAGGCAATCCTGTCTTCCATTGCATCCTGCAGTTTGGTCAAACTCACGCTGGTAGCTTCGAGAACACTATCCAACCATCTCGTCCTCTGTTGTCCCCTTCTCCTTGTGCCCTCCATCTTTCCCAACAGCAGGGTCTTTTCCAGGGAGTCTTCTCTTCTCATGAGGTGGCCAAAGTATTGGCGCCTCAGCTTCAGGATCTGTCCTTCCAGTGAGCACTCAGGGCTGATTTCATTCAGAATGGATCGGTTTGATCTTCTTGCAGTCCATGGAACTCTCAAGAGTCTCCTCCAACACCATAATTCAAAAGCATCAATTCTTCGGCGATCAGCCTTCTTTATGGTCCAGCTCTCACTTCCATACATCACTACTGGGAAAACCATAGCTTTAACTATACAGACCTTTGTTGGGAAGGTGATATCTCTGCTTTTTAAGATGCTGTCTACATTTGTCATTGCTTTTCTCCCAAGAAGCAGGCGTCTTTTAATTTTGCGGCTGTTGTCACCATCTGCAGTGATCATGGAGCCTTAGAGACCAACTAAGTTTGTTCTTGGTATAAGCGTACATGTGCATGTATCTGAAGAAGTGTGCATGCACACGAAAGCTCATACCAATAACAAACTTAGTTGGTCTCTAAGGTGCTACTGGAAGGAATTTTTTTATTTTGTTTGGGCTTTTTTAGTTTTGAGAAAAAGCAAGTAAGAGGGGAGGAGACATGACAGAGGCATAATAAAAATCTGGGGTCATCCAACGAAGCAAAAGGTTGGAGGATCCAGGACAGAAAAAGAAGCAGCCCGCCTTCATACAGTAAATAAACTATGGCATTGGCTTTCACAAGATGCAGTGATGGCCACCAACTTGGATGGCTTGAAAATGAGATTAGGCAAATGCATGGAAGGCAAGGCTGTCTATGGCTATGGCTCAAGATCGCCAGCCTCAGAGACAGTGCTGTTGGCATCCAACTGGCATGGGAGAAAATGATGGAGTGTGCCATTGGGGGTGAAGTCAAACTGTTGGAAGGTTTCAGCGCCTGCTGTGGCTGGAGAGACATGTTTTGTTGCAGCTGGGGCAGATGAAGGCGTCTGGTTGCGCTGCTGCAGATGCACCATGGTCTTTCTTCTCTCTGTGCTCCTCCCAGCAGTCATTCCGCCTCTGGTCACTGCTACGGATGCACAACCTGACTGTCTCCAGGCACCGAACATGCTTGGAATGTGGGCTTGGAAGAGCACATCTTTGTTTGAGACTCTGTCATGCCACGTGATGCCCAAAATCTTCCTGATGCGGTGCAAGCGGAAGGCATTGAGGTGTCACTCCTGGAGGTTGCAAGTTGCTGATGACTCACTACAATAAAGCAGCATGCTCAACATGCAAACTTGGTAGACCTTCATCTTGGTGGTGGACGTCAGAGACAGTATGTTTCTGTTTAACAGCTGATGGGGCAATTGTATGCAGTTTAACAACTGGGAGAGGGCAATTGTGCTCACGTGCTGCTTGTGAGTGTGCTGGTCCCAGGGGATTACTGTGCGGCGTGGTCCAAGTCCAGTCCGAGGTCGAGGGTGTGGTATGGGGGCTGTCCGTCAAGGCAGAAGCAGGGTCCAAGGCAAGGAGTTGGGTGTGGTCCGGAGCTCTGGCAGAAGAGCAGGACAGGGTGCCAGAAGGAACAGGTTACCAACGATGTTGCTCCCGCAACCTGGGACTGGGCTGGCTGGCTTTTATCTGCCCCGAGGCATAGGGTGGTCCCGGCCCACAGGTGACTCGCCTCTCATGGCCTGGAGGCGAGCACTCCTCCTGCGAGAACATAGTTCCCTTCGCCTCTCTGCCCTGAGCCTCTGCAGCTCAGGAGAGGCTGGAGGGTTACTGGACCCAGAGGCAACCTCACCTTCCCCTGACGGGGCTGAGAGTGGAGCACCTACAGGCAATGGGTCTTCCATCACCTCCAGAGCCAGAGCAGATTCAGCTGGTGTCTGCTCCTGAGGATCCGGCACAGGTGAGGGCCCTTCAGGTTCAAGCCCCAGCCCCGGCTCAGCTGGTCCTGGAGGCGGGGACTCCTGTGCAGGCTGGGATTCCTCAGGTTCAGCCTCTGAATCAGATTCCCAGGCCATCACAGTGAGCTTCCTACCACCGTGTGCTTGGTCACTGTGAGACCAGAATGATGGTCTCTAGACCATCATTCTGGGTCCTTGTTCTGATCCAGCTGGGCTCTTCTTGTGTTTTTATGTCACCCTTTTTCTGCCTTGAAAGAAACCCATTAACGGAGAACCGTTCAAGAGGGGCAAGGCCCCCGTTTCTCCTTGGCAGAGGTCTAGAGCCGAGCAATCCCATCAAAGATGCATTTTCTTTCAGGTCATGTAACCCATTACGATCGCATTATAATTGTCCCCCGACTGTTGTGGAATGTCCTGCTCCCTTGGTTAACGTGTGAAGGATAGCAGTGTGCTCAGCTTCCCTGGCTTGCTCCCTGCTATAACGGATATAATTGCAAATGCACTGTCAGACAGAGCCTCCCAATAAACTACAGTGTCCTTAAGTGTCATTAGAGAAGAGCAAATGGGGTCAAGCTCACTTTCAATACGCTGCCATCTCCAAAGCAGCGGGGATGAGGGAGGGATGGAAAACAGCCACATAAACCACAAGGCTCTCGGACAGTCATTATAACACCTCACCATAACAGGCATTCTACAGATTGTGGAGGGACTCCCTTTTCCTCCTGAGATATCCTATCCCTTGGTGAAAGCATTGTTTCCCAACTCTCCATTTCCAAAGAAGAACTGCACAAGACGGCAGGGCACAAAAATATTTTTTGCATGTTGAAATCTTTTATTAAAGTTTTTCATGATAAGAGAATAGAGAATGAGCAGGAAGAAGAAAGGAAATAGAGAAGAAAAAGGAAAGGGGAAAAGAACAATAAAGAAAAATAAAAAGGACTTCTGATTTTCCATTTCATAAGAAAAAGGCATTTAAGACATTCAGTCCACAATGACTAATAATAATAATAATAATAATAATAATAATAATAATTTTTTATTTATACCCCGCCCATCTGGCTGAGTTTCCCCAGCCACTCTGGGCATTTCCCAATCAAGTGTTAAAAACAATACTGCATTAAATATTAAAAACTTCCCTAAACAGGGCTGCCTTCAGATGTCTTTTAAAGATAGGATAGTTGCTTATTTCCTTGACATCTGATGGGAGGGCGTTCCACAGGGCGGGCGCTACTACCGAGAAGGCCCTCTGCCTGGTTCCCTGTAACCTCACTTCTTGCAATGAGGGAACCACCAGTAGGCCCTCGGCACCAGTGGCGTAGCGTGGGTTGTCAGCACCCGGGGCAAGGCAAGTAATTTGCGCCCCCTAACCCATGAATTTTAGTAGGGGCAGAGAGCTGCGAGTGCGAGCACGCCCCCCCCCGATGTTGCGCCCGGTGCGGCCGGCCCCCCTTGCACCCCCCACGCTACGCCACTGCTCGGCACTGGATCTCAGTGACTGGGCTGAACGACATCTTCTCTACTTTCTGTTAAGCAATATTTCCTTTCAATAAAAGCATCTCAAAATCACTCATTTCCTTTTCCCATGAAAAGTCCAAGAGGACTTTCCAAATTATTACTCCTAATAGTAAATGTCAACTGAGCTTCTTCAACTCGACCTCCGGTAATTCCCACCACCATGCCTCCATACTGAGTGACAACAGTAAATTCTTCCGCTGTGTCCGTGTTAGTGTCTCTCCACTGTGATCGCATATTGAAACAACATTCCTTAATTGAAGAGCGCAAAATGATTCTGTACAAAACCCTGTTAAGAACTGTGTGGCATGGAATGTTGAGAGACTGACATTTCTTTCCACTTTTCACAAATTCTCCAAGTGTGGGCAGGTGACACACATGCCAAGTCTGACTCCAGTATCCCAGGGCATGCTGTGCCCAGCTCCTTGAAGTCCCTGGCAGTCCTTGTGCTTAGCAAGGCTAGCACCTTCCCACCCTCCTCAGTTTTACAGCTGCAAAGGAGAACTGTGTCTTAGATGCTAGGATCCAGGCTGCTGATGCTGATGCTAAACAGCTGCTTCAAGCTAGAGGCATATGGTTTAGCTGTTATTGGAAAGAGAGAGTTGACCAGGTTGACCATTTGGCCAGCAAGGCACCTCTTATGTCAGGAGTCCCCAAACTAAGGTCTGCGGGCTGGATAAGGCCCGAGGGACTCGTTTATCCAGCCCGCGGCGACCCCCGCTGCCCACTCTTACCGGCACGGCACTGTGTAGCTGCCCACTTCTGGGTCGGAGGAGCACTGGAAATAGCTTGTGCGCATGCACAAGCGTAGTGCGCATGTGCAAACATTGTGCGCATGTGCAATGTTATTTCCTGTGCACATCCGGGTCGGAGGAGGCCCGTGCACATGCACACAAGCTATTTCCGGTGCTCCTCCAACCTGGAAGTGCGCCGGAAATAGCGTGTGCGCACACATATGGCCATGCGCTCCCCGGCGCGATTGGCGCTGGAGACACCAGCCTGAGGCACGGTACGTTTGCTGAGCCCTGTCTTATGTCAATTGCAGAGCAATTCCCCTCCACCCGCCATGAAGACGTCAGAGAAGAAAAAAGAATAGCTACGGAGAGACAAAGTGCAGTTATTTGTGTACTGTCATGCACCTACCTCTCTTCTTTCTCTTCCACTTTTACTGCCGTCTGCTTGGCACAATTTCTTCCAAAGTACATAATGGGGTTCACTCGCAAAGGCATTTCTTTGTCCTTTGGCAATTTCGCAAGGTCATTGCGTAACATTCCACTCTCGCGCTCCAGCTTATCGATGGAATCGGAATAGGCCGCGTGTTCTTTCTTGGACAAATCTATCATCTGTTGAAGGAATTGTTTTGTTTTATGTTTCTTTTTTTTATAAAAAAGATCAGTTTGTTTACAACTTCATCATAATTGAATTCACACAATTCAACAAAGAAACAGGCACGGGGCAATATTTTCACTGCTTATTTACCATATGTAATCATACAGCATTTATTGTAAATGATAACCCTCACAGAACTGCCTCCAGAAATAGCAAACAAGACAAATGGGTAGAAAGGATAATAGCCTGTGTAACACAAAAAAAGCACCATATTACAATTGCTCAATGAACCCTGCAAACTGCGTTTTCATTTTCTTTTTTTCAAATCACTCAACACATTTGAACTGCTTGCCTCAGAAGTCTTAAAGAGGCACATAAGACATCCTTAGCTGCCAGAGTTGTAAATATTTTCATTATAACGCTCCGTCAAGTTATGCTTCCAGAAAGAGAGAATTGTAGAAAAATGCTGAAGTTGTAACTACATAATTCCTTCAAAATCTTTATGTATAAAATTGCAATATCCTCGTGTCAATGAGAAAAATTGCCTTAAAAGTGCTGACTAAAAAAGCATAACCAATGCCATGTTAAATATTTTGGAGGCGGTTTATTAAGGAAACGGGAGACATGATCCCACTGATTAAAACAGAGCAAACTCTCACACACAAACTTTCCTTTTCCATTAAAAAGCAATGGGACTTTTACAAAATGTTTAATTTGCTTAGTTGCTACAAAGTTAAATCATAGATTTGCAGTGACACTAAGAACTACAAGGGGAGATGGTTTTTCATGGGATGGGATATGAAATATGCAAGGGACACACACACATATATTTATTTTGTAATGCAATGAACTCTTCACACCTCAGTGGGAGTTAAAAGAGGGAAAAAGCTCAAATTTTGCTCTCACACACTCCATTATCATTCAACTGTGCTGGATCTGAACTTCAACCACTTCGTATAAACAGCCTAATTCACCATACACTTAAACTGGAATACTTGACTATAAGCTGATTTACAGCACAATCCTAAGGATGTTTATTCAGAAGTTGGAGCTTGATGGAACTCACTCTCTAGAGTTTAGAAAGTATGTTTAGGATTACAGCCTTCATCCCATTTACTTCAGACCTGAAGTCTCTCTCGTAATAGGCTTGTGGGTTTTTGCATTCCTTAACAAAAAGAGTTCTTCAGATAAAACATCTTTGCGGGTTTATCTGATCACTGGGGCTTTTATTGAATGGCAGATAAAAAAAGGGAGACATGAATGCCAGCGGGCTCTCCAAAGCGATATTACTGGCTGTTAAGGACAAATATAATATTTTGAGTCTGCATTTCTTTTCCAGGTTGAAAAGCACTTGATGGTGGAGACAAGGGTTTATTCCCATATTTCCCCCTTGATTTATCAGAGAGGTAGAAGCTGTGGCCCTCCATATATTGCTGGACTCCATTTCCCATCAGCTACATCCAATATATCATGGAGCGTCTTTTACCAGCTGAAGTTGATACCCCAGTTATGTTCCTATGTGGATGGGGATAACTTGGGCTTAGTCGTTTTTCTTGTTCCACTGTTTTTATCGAATAATGGCTCTTTCATGCTGGATTGTTTTGTTAACATTTTACTGTAAGTTGTCTAGAGCAGGGGTCAGCAAGGTTTATCTTGCCTGGACCGGATCGGTCCCGCGGAGATCACTCTGTGGGCCGGATTGTGCGCGTGCCCACAATTTGCGGCGCCTGCGCATGCACAGACGCGATATCCAGTGCCTGCGTCTGTGCAGATGCAATTTCTGGTGCCGTGGAAGCAAGTTCCTGCGCCGCACTGCACCGGTTTAGCAAAGCACGCGAGCGGCTGGCTTGGTTCAGGGGCGGCTTGTAGGCCGGTCAAACGACCTCCGTGGGCTGCTTCTGGCCCATGGGCCTTAGGTTGCTGACCCCTGGTCTAGAGGATGCACCAGCAGTGCTTAAGAAATTGAATTAACCAATTTTGTTTTTGTTATTACTACTAATCATAATCATCATACAAAATTGTATGATTCTATTTATGATTATATGATTCTATTTGCAGATGATTCACTGCAGATAGTGACAGCAGTCATGAAATTAAAAGACACCTGCTTCTTGGGAGAAAAACAATGACAAACCTAGACAGCATCTTAAAAAGCAGAGACATCACCTTGCCGACAAAGATCCGTATAGTTAAAGCTATGGTTTTCCCAGTAGCGATGTACAGTGGTGCCCCGCAAGACGAATGCCTCGCAAGACGGAAAAACCGCTAGACGAAAGGGTTTTCCGTTTTGAAGTTGCTTCGCAGGACGAATTCCCCTATGGGCTTGCTTCGCAAGACGAAAATACCTTGCGAGTCTTGAGTTTTTTTCCGCTTTCCCCCTTTATCTAATCTGCTAAGCCTTTAATAGCCTTTAATAGCCTTTTAGCAGCTAATCCCCTAAGCCTTTAAGCCTTTAATAGCCGCTAAACCGCTAATAGCGCTAATAGCGCTAATCCGTCAATGGGCTTGCTTCGCAAGACGAAAAAACCGCTAGACGAAGACTCTCGTGGAACGGATTAATTTCGTCTTGCGAGGCACCACTGTATGGAAGTGAGAGCTGGACCATAAAGAAGGCTGATCGCCAAAGAATGGATGCTTTTGAATTATGGTGCTGGAGGAGACTCTTGAGAGTCCCATGGACTGCAAGAAGATCAAACCTCTCCATTCTTAAGGAAATCAGCCCCAAGTGCTCACTGGAAGGACAAATCCTGAAGCTGAGGCTCCAATACTTTGGCCACCTCATGAGAAGAGAAGACTCCCTGGAAAAGACCCTGATGTTGGGAAAGATTGAGGGCACAAGGAGAAGGGGACGACAGAGGACAAGATGGTTGGACAGTGTTCTCAAAGCTACCAGCATGAGTTTGACCAAACTGCGGGAGGCAGTGGAAGACAGGAGTGCCTGGCGTGCTCTGGTCCATGGGGTCACGAAGAGTCAGACACGACTAAACGACTAAACAACAACAACAATTTGCAAAGGGGTTGGGAAGTTTAGCAGATGTTTCAAAAACTTTAAATGGAGGCCTTGAACAGCTCAGATTTGTTAATTAAACACACCACTCTGGAGTGCAGCATTCCAACGAACTAAATTCTTGTTTCAATATCAAGATGCTTTGTGTTTTCGAAAAAGACAAGAAGTAATCAGCATAAAAACTATCAAGAGTAAAAGATTCATGTAATATCCTCAAGCTTAGACACTGTGCGAGTGATTTCCTGTGGGCGGAATGGAAAATAAAAGCAAGTTTTGATAGACAAGATCAGTGGCCATTCTGCTGTTACTTCCCAAAGAGGCCCACCCAGATTATAAATATAAACAACTTATGTGATTTAACAGTTGCTTGGTGTGCTATATGCCCTTGATTTCCCCACCCTCTCTTTGAAAGCTGATTCAGGTACACTACACTTAGACACAAACACTTCAGCATGGTGTGGTCTTAGGCTGCAGGCCACGGGACTGACCCTGCTCATGTGGTTTTATGTTATTCCCAACATGGTCCTGCAGGGTGGGATCACACTATGCTGAAATAGTTCCGACATATGGTTAGGAAGGCAAATATGTGTCAAAACAGCACTTCAGAGCACAGGTGGGGAACCGCACATTTAAATGTTAACACACACACACACACACGTATATATCTATATGCTTCCATACACACTGCCTAGGCTTGCGCTCAGGGGAGGTCAATTTGGTGATGCTAACACAGATATTTGACTTCAAGCATGTAGCCGCGACTCCCCTTGCAATTTCTGGTGGTGCAGGAAGAACAGCAGCACTGTTAATTGCTTATTAGCACAATTTAAACTGCAAGGTCTACAGGTGTCATCATGGACATAGCCAAGGGTGCTAGATCCACAACTATTTTTGAAAAGCGTTGAAAGTACTCAATTATCTGAGGTTCTCCCCTAGCCCCCAGCAGAAGCCGGATACAGTGGTGCCTCGCAAGACGAAAATAATCCGTTCCGCGAGTCTCTTCGTCTAGCGGTTTTTTCGTCTTGCGAAGCAACCCTATTAGCGGCTTAGCGGATTAGCGCTATTAGCGGTTTAGCGGCTATTAAAGGCTTAGCGGCTTAGAAAAGGGGGGGGAAGCGGAAAAAATCGCAAGACGTTTTCGTCTTGCGAAGCAAGCCCACAGGGAAATTCGTCTTGCGAAGTGCATCGAGAAACGGAAAACCCTTTCGTCTAGCGGGTTTTTCGTCTTGTGAGGCATTCATCTTGCGGGGCACCACTGTACCCACAATGCCTTATTTATGGGGTATTTTTAACCGTGATTTTCCAAGAAAAGCTTGACAACTTGGATTTCTTTAAAAAATCTCAACAACTTTGGCCGCCCCCTGTAACAAAAATCCTGGCTACGCCCATGGGTGCCACACCCAAATAATCTCAACAAGAAATTCAGAAAAGTAATGCAGATCAGCAAATACAGCTAAGAAACTGCAGGTTATAGGGAAGAGATATGAGCAGGAACGTTGGAAAGATTTTCATGTGTATGCTAGGAATATAAACCCCAGAATGCTTGGTTCTGTATGATAAGTGTAAGATTAGCGTTATGTCAAATGGTCTTATTTCCTGCTGTAGTCTTGTCCCGCCCCCCCCACTCCTTGCCCATATTCTATGAGGCAATCGCTTCCTTAAACGTCAATAGGTGCTAATCTCCGTAAGGACCAAATGACCTGCGCTGCTTTTTATTCTGTTTGCATACCTGTTGTTTCCCTAACATTTTCTCTTTTATCTCTAACTCCGTTTGTAACTGCCTTTCCAGTAGAGCAGCTTTCTTCATGATAGTTGCTATAGTAATCTCCTTCTGATGAAGCTCTTCTGTCAGGTCAGAGATTTCCGTCCTCATTCTTTCCACCTCAGAGCGATGGGACTGTTCTTCCTGATAAAGGCGGTCCCTTATCTGCAGCAAAAAGGGAAGAATGAGCGCTGGCATTGCAGATAGCATCGTTTTTTTCACATACCACCAACTTTTGGGGTTCTCCGTTTCCAACACAGCAACCCTACCAGCCGTGTGAGCGATAGCGCAGAGATTTAGAAAGGCTTACGATTCAGACCAGCTTCTTTGTGTTTCAGTTTAGAGTTCACACTTTCCACCTCCTCTCTTGTTTAAACGCTACATGCCAAGAATCATAGGAGCCAACTCTGAGTGGGCATGGGGGGCTTCAGCCCCCACAATAAAATATTTGAGGAGGCTGGGCCCCAACAAAGTTGACTGGCATTCCCATTCAAATGGTGTGTGTATACTGTGTCATGTGATCGATTTTGTGGGGCGGGGCTAACCTGGGCCCCCACAATATTTTATCCAAGTTGGCACCCCTGCCGAAAGGAAGTCAAGTGAAAGAAAATTTACCCACCAACGTTAATGTGCCCGGCAGTCCAACCTCTGAAAGCGTAATGCTGGTGGTCAACAATAGAGGTTTAAAGACTGTCTCAAGGAAAATCTAAAAAAATGTTGTATAAACACTGCCAACTGGGAAACACTGGCCTGTGAGTGCTCCAGTTGGAGAACAGCCTTTACCCAAGGTGTCATGGACTTTGAAGACACTCGAACTCAGGATGCAAGGGAGAAATGTGCTAGGAGGAAGGCACGCTTGGCAAATCCACACCGTGATCAACTCCGACCAATGCCCCCACTGTGGATGGACGTGTGGGTCCAGAATTGGCCTCCACAGTCACTTTGTTAAAACCGTGTTTATGGAAGACAATCTTACTCGGCTACGAGTGATTGCCAAAGAAGAAGGAGGAGGAGGAGGAGGCTAGTTTCTAACACATTCCTCTTTATCTGCCACCCAGATGAACAAGAGGCATTTTCAGAGGTCAAGGACACATCCCAGCCAGTCAAAAACATTCAGAATTTGAAGCAGGATGCAACCTGGGGAGATTCCGAAGAGGAATGGAGGCAGGGAGGTCCCCATTTTGCTCCCTGCCTACCACTGTTTTAAAACATTCATAGGATGAAAGTGGTTGGTGGGCTATCAAGCTGCATATATTGCCTTGTTGGTCCTTCACTTTACTGTGATCACCACACAGCAAACGCGACTTGTTCTGTTCTGTCCAGTTCTGAGCAGAATTGCAAAATGCCATTTTTGGCATTCGCGAAAACAGAAGGATATCTGCATCAGCAAACAAATGCTCAGAGTATGTTCCGTCAATGCTGTTGATGTCACAAAGTGTAATGTTACACTGTTTGGACGTGGTGTTGACCAATTCGTACCCTGGAGAGTGAGCGTCAGGCAAGCAGTTGTATGTCGATTCCCTTCTGCACTCTTATTTACAGAGAAAACTCAGACACTGGGACATCCTTCACCTTGCAATTCAAGGTATTCTCTTATCCCTATAGCGAAGAGAGTGGGAAGGAGTTTGGGATAGCAAGCCCAGAAGCCCAGGGCCTACCCCCAAATTTGCTCCAAGGAGAATCTGGAGAGGCAAAGGAATTTTCCAAAAGGGCTAAATGGTTAGAAACTACTTATGTCAGCTTTAAAAGCAGGTTGCACGTAGTAACCAGAGTCTACTGTTCCCCCTCTAAGCAAGGAAAGTCAATAGTTAAAGTACCAGGTACTACCAGAAATAACTTTTAGCAGCTCACTAAAGAGAAAACATGATAAAAATAAATAAAGGCTATGCTGACATAGTGTTACAAAAAATAAAAATAAAATAGCCCCACTCTCAGAGAAAATAAGCTTGCCACTAGTGTTATTTAATGGGTTGTTCTATGCTATTAGCTTTGAAGGTCACATTTCCTGTACCGCTTCGCTCTCCCCCGAGAGTATAAAGAAGCTTGTGGGTTTTCATAAGTTTTCTGCCAATAACAAATAGCGAGATGCCAATAAATCCTCCTGTTTCTTAGAACAATACAGCCCTTCTGGATGCCAATATAAAAAGGGCCAATCAAGCAACGTTCAGTTGTATTCTGTTTCCTTATGAATTGCCATTGATTTTCATTGCACTCTTACATGCAATGTGCCCCTTTGGCGATATTAAGGGTTACTGGGCACATGCTTCAGACACGCTGGAGATCCATTTCAAAGTCACTAAGAACCAAGGATGTCTCTCGCCTTAAAAACTGATGGCTTTAGGAGGCTAGTGTAAATGAAATCAACACTCTTAAATGCTGCAATATTTTAAAGCCCCCCCCCCCCCCAGTTCCTCAGGCAGCTTCTGCCCACCTGTGCCCTCCAGATGTTTGGATTACAACTCCAGACAGAAATACTGTTATTGGGGGTGTTATGTACTGAGTTGAATAGGATCCAAACTGCAGCAGTCTGATTGGTCCTAGAACAATAGGATCCAAAATGCAGCAGTCTGATTGGTCCTAGAACAATAGGATTCAGAATGCAGCAGTCTGATTGGTCCTAGAACAATGCAGCAGTATGATTGGTTGGCAGGAACCACCCAATCCTGCTCCAGATAGAAGTGAATCCACAACCTGATTGGCTTACAGTAGAATTCCGGAATTAGCCAATCATGTGCAGCCCATTGTGTAAATAATGTATATAAAGCAGATACTGTGAGGGGACTTCATTCATTCCTCCTCACCACTATGAGCTGAATAAAGAGCATGAAATCACTTTGCGACTCTGAGTATATTTCACTGGCGACGAGGATGGGATCCCGCTGAGCTGACTGCCACACGCAGCACCGCCACCTGCCGCACCGCTGCCTCGCACCGTGTATCCAGGCTTCAGCTCCGGGACACAAGGAACTCAGAATGGCAGCCAACAGCAGCTTCTCGCCATTCAACCCAGCATCTGGAGACTGGGAAGCGTACGCCTCCCGTTTCACCTTCCTCCTAGAAGCCAAAGGGGTCACCGATGAAGAAGACGCCAAGAAGAGGGCGATATTCTTCAGCGTCTGCGGAGAGGAGACGTTTGAAATCGCCCGGGCTCTCCTTGCGCCTGAAGACGTCGCTACTGTTCCATACAAAACAATAATGGAACAGCTGAAGGGGCACATTTCGCCGCAGCCCTCAGTGGTGGCTCGTCGAAATGCCTTCTACGCAAAGCGGCAAGCTCCTGGGGAAACCATAACTGGGTTTGTGACCTCTCTCCGCCAAGCCGCCCGGTTCTGCAACTTCTCAGAGCTGGAGAACATGCTTCGTGACCGCCTTGTCGGTGGCCTGAAGGATGAGAAGCTGCAACTACGCCTCTACGCTAAGAAGGACCTAACGTTCCAGGTCGCTCTGGAGGAGGCCCTGGCAACGGAAGCTGCCGAGAGGTCAACGCAAGAGGCACGGCCGAGCCTGCCATCCCAACCGAGGGTCCACCACGAAGACCTCACCGACGACTCAGGATCCGACAGGGAGGAGGTGCACCGAGTACAGCAGCGCACTCAAGCAGCGCACAGACCACAGCTGCCTCGACGAGAAGGAGGGAACTGCGCAAGCTGCGGGAAGAGTCACGAGAGGAGGACCTGCCGTTTCCGCAACGCAGAGTGCAGGCAGTGCAGAAAATCGGGACACATTGCCCGGGTGTGTCGGGCTCGGCCCACCCGACACCAGGCATCAGATGACCAATCCAAGAGCCCCAGGTCCCGGGGCCCAACGCACCAAGGCAACTCGACGGAGCTCACGGACTGCCAGGTATACCAGTTGCCCCACCCCAACGTAGAGAAAATTTATGTAGAGGTACAGATAGAGGGGGCCCCATGCCGCATGGAGCTTGACACGGGTTCAACTCTATCCATAATCTCGGCAAGGACCTTAAGGAAACTGTGTCCTACTGGGGGTCCCAAACTCAGGCTGGCCCCATTCACCCTACGGGACTTCCAGAAACGTAAGGTCCCCACCGACTCTGAGTATATTTCAGGGGGACAGGGGGTGGGCAGGTGTGGAGGACTCCCTGGTCCTGAATGGGGTAACTGTGCACCTGAAGGACCAGGTGCGCAGCCTGGGAGTCATTTTGGGCTCACAGCTGTCCATTGAGGCCCAGGTTAATTCTGTGTCCAGGGCAGCTGTCTACCAGCTCCATCTGGTACGCAGGCTGAGACCCTACCTGCCCTCAGTCTGTCTTGCCAGAGTGGTGCATGCTCTAATTATCTCCCGCTTGGACTACTGCAATGTGCTCTACGTGGGGCTACCTTTGAAGGTAACTCGGAAACTGCAATTAATCCAGAATGTGGCAGCTGGACTGGTGACTGGGAGCAGCAGCCGAGACCATATAACACCGGTCCTGAAAGATCTTCATTGGTTCCCAGTACGTTTCCGAGCACAATTCAAAGTGTTGATGCTGACCTTTAAAGCCCTAAACGGCCTCGGTCCTGTATACCTGAAGGAGAGTCTCCACCCCATCATCCAGCCCAGAGACTGAGGTCCAGCATTGAGGGCCTTCTGGCGGTTCCCTCGCTGCGACAAGTGACATTACAGGGAACCAGGCAGAGGGCCTTCTTGGTAGTGGCGCCCACCCCCCTATGGAACGCCCTCCCAGCAGATGTCAAGGCAATAAACAACTATTTTACTTTTAAAAGACAACTGAAGGCGGCCCTGTTTAGGGAAGTTTTTAATGTCTGACGCTGTATTGTTTTTAATATTCGGTTGGAAGCTGCCCAGAGTGGCTGGGGAAACCCAGCCAGATGGGCAGGGTAGAAATAATAAATTATTATTATGATGATGTAATCCACATGGGCAGAGACCAACAGGCCTGGTTAGCATTCAGTGGGACTTGACAGCATGACCTCTAACAGGCTGCAAAATTATCTGCAGCGTGTAAGGCTAGTGAATGGATAGCTCAGTCGATGCTGATGACACCAAGGTTGCAGGTTCAACCTCCATATAGGACAACTGCATATTCCTGCATATTCCAGCTCTAAAATTCTCTAAGAAGAGGCAGTTTGAAAAGCACCAATTCCGGCTGCATCCACACTTTCCATTTACTGCAGAATGGCCGAACTTTGGCCACTTCCCTTTTTTACACCTGTGCGATGTTCTGATCAAGACATAATGTAAGGGTATCAGGGGGTTGCTCGAGAGCAATCAGGCAAATGCCTCCCTGGTCGGCTGTAAAGCCTTGTTATTGGTGCCAAAGAAACCTTCAACATGCAGAGCACCACTATTCCGTGGCTCGCTCATTCACTGGCAGAATCTGAGAGTGGGAGGTCCTTAAACCTTCCCCAGCAGAGTAGTTTCTTGACGCCCAGACTGTGCTTCCCCTCTCTGCGTGGAAGCCTACTGCGCAGGGAGGGCGTGGGTAACGGAGGACCTCTCTCCTCCCTGCTTTGCTCAGGCAAGGTGTCCTGGCACCGCCTCACCTCCTCTGAGCCCTCTCCGCTGGAGGCGTGGTTACTCTCCTCTGCTGAGGATGTGCTGCTTCCCACGATCTTTGGGGGCTCTCTGTAATCCATCTGGCTTTTCCCCTCTCGCCCCTGAGCCGATGGCAGTTCCCTGAAACATACCCTGCCCATATTTTACCTGTTCAGCTTCCTTCCTTTCTCAGAGCTCAGAAAATCCAACTTTCTTGCTTTTTTAAAAAAACACACAAAGTGACAGCTATGCAGTCGCCCCAAGTGCATACAGCCTGCTGTGCAGCTGTTCGATAGCTTTTCTGGCAGATTATTGCCTGCTGAAGCCAATTCCATCTCTCACCTCTTTAGGAGTCCGTTTTATCCCTCTGGTTGGTTGGTTGGTTGGCATCCCTCTCTTCCCTTTCCAAACCGCATTGCCTTTATATTCTGCACTGCCTTCCTTAAACCACAGCAAGGATGGAGTGGGGCAGTAATCATAACTGGGAGTGCTTCTCTCCCACACCACAATCCCAATGAAAATTACCCCAACCCCTGCAAAACACTCGGGGTTTGGGAAAGGCGGACTGCCCAGTAGGCAAAAGAAATGTGTAAAAGTCTGGAAGTAGAGTTGTTATTCCACTTCCAGCTTTAACAGCAGTGACTGGATGCTGATAACACTGACGGCACACTGGAAACACACTTAGAACACTTGCATTAACTGGTACAAAGCTGGAGAAGAGAGATCTGAGACCCACAATTAGCCGAGAAAGCAGCTTTCTCATGCTCCAATGTCCTTCTACAGCCTGGATCTAGTTTTTCCTTAATTGTGACCCACGGAATAAGATCAGAACATACCTGGTTCAGCTCTTTCTGCTGATTTTCCTGCTGTTGTTCCAAGGCAAGTATCTGAGCTTTTTTTATTTCCAGGTCCTTGATGCATTGTGCATAAGCTGACTGAAGTCTAGAAAGAAAGAAAGAAAGAAAGAAAGAAAGAAAGAAAGAAAGAAAGAAAGAAAGAAAGCTATTACAAGTCCAGTTTTCCCTTCTTAAAAAACAAACAAACCCAAAATTATTGTTTTATTATATGAAACACATTACATTATGTTTGTATGATACTACACAAGTCTCTTTGCCTGAGACAGTCATTCCCAAACTGTTTTTAGTAAATAGCAGTGTGCTGAGAGGGTGAAAAAATTGTCAAATATATATATACACACACACATATATAATTTTTTTCCAAATATTTTCACAATAACCTTCAAATCAAATAATTACAGTATTACATAAGCTTACTGCCCACCCTCACCTCCACAGCATTTTTACTCAAACCTTTTCTACTGTGATATATTTTAATCTATTACAAAAGGCTTCTGTCACAATTATTTTGCCATTTTTCGTCTGCTGCTTTTCTCTCGACTCCTGCCCGCTGTCATGTTGTTGTTTTTTTAAAGTAGTCCATGAAAGGCCTCCCCATTCTTCTATAAAAAGTTCCTCATTTTGATCTCTTAATTTTGCTGTCTGCCTTTTGCCATGTCTGCATAGCCCACTACTTTCAAAAGCCACTCCTCCTTTGCTTTCTCTCTCTTAAAGGTAAAGGGGTAAAGGGGACCCCTGACCATTAGGTCCAGTCGTGGCCGACTCTGGGGTTGCGGCGCTCATCTCACTTTATTGGCTGAGGGAGCCGGCGTACAGTTTCCGGGTCATGTGGCCAGCATAACTAAGCCGCTTCTGGCGAACCAGAGCAGCACACGGAAACGCCATTTACCTTTCTGCTGGAGTGGTACCTATTTATCTACTTGCACTGGTGTGCTTTCGAACTGCTAGGCTGGCAGGAGCTGGGACCGAGCAATGGGAGCTCACCCCGTCGTGGGGATTCGAACCGCCAACCTTCTGATCGGCAAGCGTTTAACCCACAGCGCCACCCGCGTCTTAGGTGGCCCAAACTGCAGCATCGCCCAGAGGCAGAGAGAAGCACCTGGCTCCCACACCTTCTCCTTGCTCCACTGCCGGTTGTTTATTCAGAGAGGGCAGGAAAATTGGCAGCAACATTAAGGACAAAGGGTAGCAGCAGTAGCAGCAGGCAGCAGCTAGGCTCTCCAGATCTTGGCAGCAGGCCCCTTGCTGGGTCATGAGCTCTAACAGGGTTTCAATCAGTGCTGATCCCCAATAATGGCTCTGGCTTGTAACCTTAGGCTCACTAGGCATTTGGCCACGAGGGAGAAATACCAAGCATTCAGCTCCTGCCCTTTAAATGTAGTAAAATGCTCGTGCTGGCAAGACACTGTCAGGTGCCCTGATGTGAACACAAAACGCAACCTTAAACAACACAGTTCAGAAGCTAATTATTTCGAGGCCGAGTGCTCGAGGTTCCCAGTTATCTGCATAACGCCAGACCCCTCCGATGAGCCACCATCGGGCATGCTATCAAACAAAACGTGTCACAAAATACATCTATTCAACTGCCCATCCCTATCGATCAAGCTGCAAAAAAAAAAAAAGAGTTCAGGACTCTCTTGATGACAGCTTTCCCTCCTATATTTGAAAGTGTGTTGTTGTTGTTTAGTCATTTAGTTGTGTTTGACTCTTCGTGACCCCATGGACCAGAGCACGCCAGGCACTCCTGTCTTCCACTGCCTCCCGCAGTTTGGTCAAACTCATGCTGGTAGCTTCGAGAACACTGTCCAACCATCTCGTCCTCTGTCGTCCCCTTCTCCTTGTGCCCTCCATCTTTCCCAACATCAGGGTCTTTTCCAGGGAGTCTTCTCTTCGCATGAGGTGGCCAAAGTATTGGAGCCTCAGCTTCAGGATCTGTCCTTCCAGTGAGCACTTGGGGCTGATTTCCTTAAGAATGGAGAGGTTTGATCTTCTTGCAGTCCATGGAACTCTCAAGAGTCTCCTCCAGCACCATAATTCAAAAGCATCCATTCTTCGGCAATCAGCCTTCTTTATGGTCCAGCCCTCACTTCCATACATCACTACTGGGAAAACCATAGCTTTGACTATACAGACCTTTGTTGGCAAGGTGATGTCTCTGCTTTTTAAGATGCTGTCTAGGTTTGTCATTGCTTTTCTCCCAAGAAGCAGGCGTCTTTTATTAAAAGCAAATTGCTTGTTTCTTTTTTAAGTAAGAACCCAAAGAGAAAAAGGGGACAAAATTATCTTGGTCTTCCCATTCATTTGTGTTTGGGGGGGGGGCACCACCACTCGTTTCAGTGTGGTTGCCCATCCAATTCAACACGGCATGTGCAGGACTGTACTGCGCCTATATTTACAATAGGAACAGTGTGCACTGCTATGCACGTCACTATTTTTGGGCTTTCGCAGTGAACTTATATTGAGTCAGACCACTGGCTGATGACTCCAATAAAACCAATGGACAGGTTTATCCATTTCAGTGTCTCTGCTCTGAGCATGTGTAATGTTTGCTATCGCCACCCAGAGGCACTCACTCTCACGTCAACAAGAACCAATTCATGCAGGGGAGACCTGTATTTTAAATACCTACTTCACGCGGCTTTCTTCGTTATTTTTATACTCTTCCATTTTGGCGACTTCGTTGCGCAGCTGCTGGCACTCCAGCTCGACCATATTCAAGAGATCCTCTCGTGACTTCAGTTCGTTCGTCACTTGGGCGAGCCTTGCTTCAATATTCTGAACAAAGACAAAGAAATGCCTTCAAAATAGCCTACCCAGTTGTAAGGATATCAGGGGGCACAATGCAATGCAGAGATAGACTTGCAACCTGGTGTTTGGGGAAGTTCCATGCAGAGACTGCTTCTCAGTCCCTACATTCAACATCCAACTCTCGTATCTGCATTAACAAGACATATATAGGTTTTATATCGGTTTAGCTGCCATGGCTTTCACCAAAGAACTCTGGGAACTGCAGCCTGGTGAGGGCAAGAATTTCTTCCTAGAGATCCCTAGTCCTCCATCACATAAATACATGCCCAATATTTTCTTGGGAAAGGGAATGGCTGTTTAAACCAATTTAAGTCTGTAATTTAGAAGCCCCCCCCTCCAAAAAACAAAAAAAATCCTCCCAGAAATACATTCACTATATTTGGAATTATATGTTTTACTGTTATGGTAAGTGGTAACTGTGTTATCCACAAGGCAAGCTATACCATATGACGGTAACAAACTAAATTATATCAACAGCCATATCATCCGTCAACAAGAGAAAGAGAAAGGCTGCAGATTTCAGCATTGGAACGTGCAAGTGTGGGAGTTATTGCTTCCATTTATTTGACTACATTTCAAACTGAAATGCCAAACTTTTGAAAGCTTCTGAAATAGTCATGGTGGTGACTCACAACTCCAAAAATGATCTGCTGTGATATGGAAAACAAGCGCCTTGAGAGGCTGAGAGGCTTTTTGGAGACGTTTTTCGAAATGGTAGAAGGGGAACGGAAGAGAACTAACTACACTGAATGAATGGAACAGGCATCCTATATGGAAATTAATGAAGAGATGATTCACGGACCACTGTCCTCTACAATTCAATAGTGGTTCCATCATAACTCTACTCAAATATAGATGAGGTGTTGCACAGAAGCAATCTACTCATTATTAGAAAAAAGGGGGTCTCTTTAAAGGGATGCCGGTCTCACAAGATCATGGGAGACCATACAAAAGTGAGATGTTTTGGCTTGCTTGTTCACTTCTGCCCCAAAGTGAGAGAAGGGGGAGGAAGGAAGTGAGCCCCAGGGTCATTCTTCATCTCCAGTGTGGTGTAGTGGTTAAGAGAGGTGGACTCGTAATCTGGTGAACCGGGTTCGCTTCCCCGCTCCTCCACATGCAGCTGCTGGGTGACCTTGGGTTAGTCACACTTCTCTGAAGTCTCTCAGCCCCACTCACCTCACAGAGTGTTTGTTGTGGGGGAGGAAGGGAAAAGAAGAATGTTAGCCGCTTTGAGACTCCTTCGGGTAGTGATAAAGCGGGATATCAAATCCAAACTCTTCTTCCTCCCAGGTACAATCCCAGCTCATAGACCCTATGAGCAAAGTCAGTTCAAGCTCATTTGCGGCCACAGGTGAAAATGACCCTCCCCTCCAATGGCAACCACTTCTGGCTATTCTGAAGGGGCTGTTGGGCCATTTATTTGCAAGAGAAAATGGAACGTAATTAGCAGAAGAAGGGAGGGGGTAGAACTCCTTCAGGTGCTGCAAGGAGCCCAGGCGAGACTGTACCATCTTCACAAGGTCATCTTCTTAATTAGGCGGGAGCCACCTGTAGTTCTGCTACTCAAATGCTTTCTAGGTTTCCCTCTTGCCTTATCTATCTGGAGAAAACCCGAATTGCAGTTTGCGCCAATTGAGCGTTAAAGAGCAGTTTTCCGAGGGGTGGGTGGAACTGAGAGCCAAGAGGAGGAGCACCCCAGAGTTCAAGGGCACATTCCAGCCAGACAGAAACACCCAAGGAAGGTATGAAGCAAAGCTGGAGAGGGGTTGTGCCAGGGGCAAGTCCAAAGGTTTCTAACACTTGCACTAGACAATACTGGGGAGAGAAAAGTCGGACGTGCATAGCTATTTTTAGAAGCATTCCTACCATCTACTATAATACCTAGACGCAGCCATCTGTACTATATGGTGTCTTGGGTAGCTGCTGTTGCTTCGCCCTCTGCTGGTCCTTTTATTTTATCTGAGCTTTTAAAAAATGCAGCTGCTTCGCAAAGTGGACTCGGGTGGGGAAAGTACACATGGTTATAGCTGGGGTACTAGAGTCTGTTAGTGAATATTAGAAACTAAAGAGCGGTACTATTTATATAATATTTGGGATCTGAAGGGGAAATGCAAGCTGCACAACTGGGCCAGGCTGGCTGGGCTAGCTGAGTGCAGAGCTATTAAGCCAGAGGTTTTCAACCTTTAGAGTCCAGGGCTCCCTTGGCCAACTACATTCTTTCTGCGGCACCCCTGTGGGGCTCAGGAACCCAGTTCTGTCACCCCTTGTCTGCAGAGCGGGCAGCCTCTTGCCCTTTTTCAAATACCCTCCCTTGCGAAGTGTTCCCTCAGCCTCCTCTCCTTTCCCCTCTCCCGTGGGAGTCCCTCTGGGCAGCCACTGCTGCCACCCGGTCTCTGAGCTGCCGCCCCCCCCTGCCCCAAAGAGAGGTGCCTCTTCCCACTGCCCCACAAGGGCCTGGGAAGCACCTTCTGGCTAGCCCCAGAGGCACCATTCGCCTCGGGAGCTTGTAAACCAGGGCCGCGGCAACAAACAGCTGTACAAGCCTTTGGGAGGCAGAGACATGAGAGGGCATCAGAGGAGGGAGGGAGGGAAAGAGGGACAGAGGCCAGTGTTGCCTGCGGCACCCCTGACCATCATTCAAGACACCCCAGGATGCCACAGCACACTGGTGGAAAACCCCTGTATTAAGCAACAATGGGGAGACAGGTGCTGGACCATTTAGGCCAATGCAAAAAGCTATTCTCCCCAGGAGTGGACAGAGATAGGAGATTTGGGAGGTTGCAGGGGGCAGGGCGTGGTGTTACAGGAAAACGTGTCCGTTACTTTTCCGTCTGCACCTTCTCGTGGATCTTTCTTACAAAATCTGGATACAGTGGTACCTTGGGTTAAGAACTTAATTTGTTCTGTATGCAACAACAGCAGCAAGGATACTCATCGCAAAATATTGGAAGACACAAGATTTACCCACCCGGGAAGAATGGCAGATGAAGTTGATGGACTATATGGAACTGGCGGAAATGACTGGCAGAATCCGAGACCAGGGAGAAGAGTCGGTGGAAGAAGATTGGAAAAAATTTAAAGACTATTTACAGAAATACTGTAAAATTAATGAATGTTAGAAAAATGTTGGAATGAAGTTATATGGCTTTAGTAGAAATGTTATAAGGAATTAAGTACAGATAGGTTAATAGAGCATTAAAGGAAAAAATAAGGTTAGAATGAGTTAAGATAATTATAGGATAGAAAACAGAGGAAGATGGAAAGGAATTGCTGAAATAATTAACAGAAGTGGAATACAAAAAGGGAGGTGTGAGGAGGTCGTGGAAATAAGTGAATGAAAGATGGGATAATGAAATTGTTTGATTTATTTTATTGTTTTTGTTTTGTTTTGTTAATTTAATGTATTGTATTGTATTGTATTGTCTTCTTAGTGTTTAAGTTTTTGGAAAAATAATAAATATAATAATAATAAAAAAGAACTTAATTTGTTCTGGAGGTCCGTTCTTAATCTGAAACTCTTCTTAACCTGAGGTACCACTTTAGCTAATGGGCCTCCCACTGCCACCGTGCAATTTCTGTTCTCATCCTAAAGCAAAATTCTTAACCCGAGGTACTATTTCTGGGTTAGCGGAGTCTGTAACCTGAAGCGTCTGTAACCTGAAGCATATGTAACCCGAGGTACCACTGTATATTTTAGATTCAAAACTTATCTTTTCGCCACAAGTAAGCTTTCGGTGAAGGTAGCGGGAATAGTTGCATCAGAATCGGCAAATAAGGAGCAAGTGAGAAGGTACCAACCTCCCTGTTTCTGACTCCTCTTTTGACTTGTTCCAGCCATATCCATCTACATTCCAAAGCAACCCTGGGACCATGGATTATTATTACTATTACCAGTGCTTTCCCCCCCTAAAAATGCGTTTAGGGGTACTCTCTCATTTTGACTCAAGAAAACCACCATTTTATAGTTCAAATAAATAAATACAGTAAATGGACAAAAGTACAAAGATTCACAAAATGTTTAAGCGTTTGCGGACCCCTGCGTGCCCCCAGAAAAAAAAGCACTGACTATTGTTATTGTTATTGTTATTATTATTATCCCGTCCATCACCCTACGGTGCCAGGGTCGGCCACAGCAATTTAAAATCAAGAGCAGTTTAAAACAAATTGCAATCACAAGAGTAGGGTACACACCATAAAAACATACCTCTCAAGTGTCAAAGGCCAGGGTAAATTAATGTAATTTCAGCATAGGACAAAAAGCGTGCAGTGAAGGTGTCGGATGCAAGGATGTAAGGAGCGAATTCCACAACTTAGGGACTGACCACAGAGAACACCCTCTCCTGGGGCAGGCAATCCAGCTTCTGAGGGTAGTGGCACTACCAAGAGGGCACCCCCTCTGCTGATCTTAACACCTGGGAAGGTCCTTATTACCGCCGCTGACTCTTTACCTGGCACTTCCTTTGGTACATTTTCACTTCCTGCTGGAGCTTTCGGTTTTCCTCCTGCAGCCTGTTTCTGCTCACGGCTATTTCGCTCACGGTCGACTTCAGTTTTTCCATAAAGAGCTCGCTCCTTTCGGTGGGTTCCGCAAGGACGTCACGCTGAATGCCGGGGTGCTCGGTTTGGCACTGGCTGCAGGTACCCGCGTCGTCTTGGCTTAGCTTCTGGCACCGCGTCTGGATTTGACAGTGCTGTGCTTGCTTCTGGCGAGACAAGGAAAACGGCCCGCATGAAATCCATCTCTTTTGCACAGAGGTGCCTCTCCCATTCTGTGAGTCGCCTTCTGTTCAGAAATTTAGAACTCTGAAGCAGAAATCCAACACTGGAGAAATTATTACCGTATTTTTCGCTCTATAAGACGCACCAGACCATAAGACGCACCTAGTTTTTGGAGGAGGAAAACAAGAAAAAAAATATTCTGAATCTCAGAAGCCAGAACAGCAAGAGGGATCGCTGCACAGTGAAAGTAGCAATTCCTCTTGCTGTTCTGGCTTCTGGGATAGCTGCACAGCCTGCATTTGCTCCATAAGATGCACACACATTTCCCCTTACTTTTTAGGAGGGAAAAAGTGAGTCTTATAGAGCAAAAAATACGGTATTTTTTTGACAGCAGGTTTCTGACATAAGACTCGCTACCAGACTTGTACGCTCCTGAGACTTGGGCCAGGCTGCCACTGTGGTCCCCAGTGGTCCCCACACATTTGAACATGGGGAGGCAGGTTACACAGGACAGATCTACACAATTGCAATGGGTCGCAGGCAATTCCCTATAAAGTGAGAGTGGGGTGGAGATTTAAAAGATGGCACGGTGATGCCCCCTACAATCACTCCTTCCCCGGTTAATTTTTCTCCTGGGACTACATAGGAAGCTGCCTTATGATGAGTTGGACCATTGCTCCATCTATCTCAGTGCTGTCTGCACTGACTGGCAGCGGCTCTATAAGGTTTCAGACAATAGCCTCTCCCACCCCGACCTGGAGATGCCAGGGACTGAAATGGGACCTTATACCACTGAGCTGCAGTGTTTCTGCTCACAGTTTTAGGGATTAAAAACAGGGCTGGGGAAAAACTTCAGCTCCTGCACTTTTAAATCTCCCTGTCCTCCCACTTTTTTTTTTAACCAATTAATTGTTATTAGTTTTCAAAAAAAATAATTAATGAATCTACATCCAGCTAATTCAATACGAATTACAGTGGTACCTCGGGTTAAGTACTTCATTCGTTCTGGAGGTCCGTACTTAACCTGAAACTGTTCTTAACCTGAAGCACTACTTTAGCTAATGGGGCCTCCCGCTGCCGCCGCGCCACTGGAGCACGATTTCTGTTCTCATTCTGAAGCAAAGTTCTTAACCCGAGGTACTATTTCTGGGTTAGCGGAGTCTGTAACCTGAAACGTATGTAACCTGAAGCGTATCTAACCCCAGATACCACTGTACAAAGTTGACTTCCCCTCCTGTTTTCTGCAGTGATTCCCTTCTCCTCCCTTCTTGCTGCGTCATAGTGCGTACAATCCTTTGCTTAAAATAGCTTAACATCTTATCGTTATCTTTTTCCTTCATCCTTTTCTATTGGCGGTTCCGACGTTTGTGGCGATTTGCACAAGCCGCGATGGACTGTGCTGCTTTCGTGTCCAGCCGGTGGAGGTTGGACCATTACGGCAAAGAAGGCATTGCCTCACCAATTGCAACCCCAGCTGACCACGTCTACTTCCCTCCATTCCAACTGTCCACTTCCTCTTCCTTAGCCTCATTGTTGCCCCCTGTGGGACTCAGCATGGAGGAGAATGGAGACAAAACAGGAATGAGTTGGCCCTGCCTGCTATTGGCTCTATCGCCACCTACTGGCAGTCTCCCTGCCTTCTGCCCTACCAGCCCTAATGGGCACCAGCTGCCACCCCTGCATGCCCTGAACACATCCACACCTGCAACTGTTGCCTGTTTTGAGGAGGCTAGGAAAGCTGATATCAAACAGTAAGAACATCCCAATACAAATGTGACAATAAATGGCTATGTGTAGTTAAACCCATTGCACAACAGAGGCACATAATTTAGCCGTATAAAAATAAAACCCTCGCCACCTGCTACCTTTGTTTTGTTTGATTATGTTCCATTGATTTCGCCGAGCGTTTCTTACGTGCCTTTTTTTGAGGGCAGAAATGCACTTGTGGCTCTCTGATTGACACCCAACAAGCCAGGCAGGAAAACGATGTTACTATGGTAATTGTGCTGCTCTGAGAATGCTGGACATCTGCTTTATCCACATCAAAGGCAGAGTCCATTAAATCAGACAAAAATATGAAAATGAGAGTGACCTGGTCCATTATTCTCAAGCTCGTTCTTCTAATCCAATACTCTGTAATTTAGTAAACCCTACAGAGTGCACTGAGCAACCAAAATGGGGGTGGGGGTGGCTAATTGAGCCCGAGTATAATAGGAATTTTAAAGGCATTTTAGACTGTTCCGAGGACATTTCTGCACGAGTTATTTTCATGCGGTGCTCTTATCCTCATAGTCTACATAGAACTCTGGTTTAAGGTTACCAGACGTCCCTGTTTCCTGGGGACAGTCCCTGGATTCACAAATCAGTCCCCTGACAAAATCCATCTATTTAGTAGGAAGTTGAAAAGAGTCCCCAGATTCATTGAAAAAAAATCTGGTAACCTTAGACTCGGGCTGGCGTTTCCCATAATTCTTAAGCACTCCCCCATCTCCTTGAATGAACATGAGTTGCTGCTTTGTCCTGAATCAGTCCACCTTGCCGGGGATGCCAATAAGATATTGTATGTGGCTTGCTCCCCACTGCGATCTATTTACAAGACCTGCTGCTTATGTACATATATTAGCATAGCCTACCTCAAAGGGCTGTTGTTGCCGATATTTATATTATTCATTTATTATTTGATTTCTTACCTGCCCTTCCCCTGTAAGGTCCCAGGGAAGGTTATAATGCTGTAAGATTCGTTTCTTGTTTTTTGTCTTTTTTTTAAACAATTAAAAGGATGCTCTTGCAAAGACGAAAGCATGGGGAGGGGATGATAATGTACAGAACCTTCAGCCCAAGAGTGGAAAAGCAAGGCATATACCGTAGACTCCGGTGTATTAGACGAGTGGGCGTATAAGACGACCACTGCCAATTTGGGGGGTCGACTTATATGCCCAGTCTTATACGCAGCAGCTTCATTGGGCAGCGGCAGTGGGCGGCGGGCTCCACGCCGGGAGGAAGCTGCCCGGCGAAGTTGCCCAGCGAACCCATACTCGGCATATAAGACGACCCCCGACTTTTTAGAGGATTTTCTGGGGTTAAAAAGTCGTCTTATACGCCAGTATATACAGGATATACATAACGTCATCCACAGCAGCCCCTTTGCTTTAACTGCAACATTTCTTGGCTCTGGTATTTGCAACAAAATACCCCACAAATGGTCCCAGCAAATGGTAGCACTCCTGAAGCTGCTATTAGCTGCAGACAGAAAATACATGTGCACACACACACACAAGCCCATCTACGGAAACCCAGAGCCAGGAGATCTGATCACAGGTGTCCAAGGTCACCTGTCTTGAGAGGGTAGAATCAGTGAAAATGTACCTGCTCCAGAAAGAATATGCAATATCCTCAAAACATACCCACCCCACACCTAAGTGGCTCTCCTGGCACTGCTAGTGAGCAGACAACAATCTCCAGCACCAGTTATTTCACAACAGAGATTAAGACATTTACATTTTCTTACAACACACAGACGTTTTGTGTACTTATGTCAGAAAATCCTTTAATGACACTGCATTTCAAACATTTAGAGCCTGACTTGCAATGATCTCCACATAGCCATTTCTAAAACGGTGTGATTTTGCTATCCAGACGTGCACAGTTTTAGGTACAATTTCTCTATGAAAGTAGAAACAGCAGCATGGTACCTGAAAGAGATTGCATTTCTCAGACAGCAGTTTTCGCTGAGCATCTAATGAAACGAGGTGGTTCTGATACAGTGTTTCTTGTTTATCCCACTCTCTTGATTTTGCTCTAAATTCCTGAAAAATGAAAAAAAAGAGAAACCCACAAAAGAAATGAATCACATCTCTATATATGTATATTCTCTGTGTACAACCAGAAAAATAATGTATGTTGCAATTTCAAGTATAAAGCTATTTTGGTTATTTATAACAATTAACAACAGGGGACAAATATTGGTGGGGAGGAAGAAGTAAAAGTATAAAATGAGAACTTGAAAAGCACATTGCACATAAAGAACATAAATGGGTCAACAATATACATGGCTATTGAAGTAAAATGTCGGGAGCACTTCAAGTTATTGCATTAGATACTGTTAAGCTATTATTTATATAGTACTTGCAAGGTACAAAGCACTTTCACAACTATCAATAATTATTAGTATTTAAATCAGGGAAGGGAAGCTTCCACCCTTCCCACTGCCCTGCAGGACTGTTTTCAGGAAGCCCCACCCGTCTCTGATACCATACCTGATGTCAGGTGTGGGACAGGTAAGGGCAAGATTTCAAAGGAACAACGGAAGGCTTCAAAGGGCAGCATCACCTGACATCACTATTGCTTCTTTAAATAATATTAAACAATATGAATACTGGATCTATAGGATGGCAACACTGGGGAGGCCATTTTGCCAAATATTCGCCAGGAGAGGGCTGAAGTCTAACTGGCTGTCACATGGAAGATGGACCAAGCCTGCTTTTCTACTGCTCTGGACGGTGGGACCTGAATCAATGGCTTCAAGAAAGGAAATTCCTCCTAAACACTGAGGTCCAGCTCCGAAGGCCTTCGGGTGGCTCTCTCACTGCGAGAAGTGAGGTTACAGGGAACCAGGCACAGGGCCTTCTTGGTGGTGGCGCCCTCCCTGTGGAACGCCCTCCCATCAGATGTCAAGGAGATAAAGAACTACACAACTTTTAGAAGACATCTGAAGGCAGCCCTGTTTAGGGAAGTATTTAACGTTTGGTGTTAAATTGTGTTTTCATATGTGTTGAAAGGTGCCCAGAGTGGCAACCCAGCCAGATGGGTGGGGTAAAAATAATAAAATAATGATTATGATCCACCATAGCTACATGGCGCCTCCACGCTCAGTTCATGTGAACATCAGTTGTGGCAGACAAACAACACAGGAGGACTGCTGCCTTCATAAGCATCCCACCTGGCTAGTCAACGTTGGAAAAAGACTAAGATGGACCTTTGGACTGATCTAGCAGGGCTCTTTTTATATTCTCACGTTACGATACGATACTCTTTATTGTCGTTGTCCCATACAGAACAACGAAATTGAAAAAAAATCTACATGACATTAAAAAACCAACAAGCCTGCTATCCCAGCTATCCCAGCCTGGTTAGCCCCCTAAAAACTATGATACCCCATTTTTAAATACAATATACTCCCATAGAGACTCCTTACACTGCGTTTAAAATCAAAATCGCATTTGGATAGAAACTGTTTCACAGGCGGCTAGTCCTAGTCTTTATAACCCTGTACCTTCTTCCAGAAGGCAGAAGCTGAAAGAGATCATTTCCGGGGTGCGCACTATCCTGCACTATCTCTGCAGCTTTCTTATGGCACCTGGAAGCATAGATTTGATCCAAGGTGGGAAGAGTGCACCCAATTATTCTCTCCGCAGTCTTTACAACCTAGGACAATGTCCCATGAAACCTGGGGCATTTATGAATGTGTGCCTTCAAACGGCAGTAGCATATTCCCGCCATGAGGTTCTTCCCCTTCTATACTTTTCCATGTCTGCTTCGGAAGGGAATAAACAACTGCTGCTCTTCTTTGCTTTGCTTTCATACTAAGAAGAAAATACCGTGTTTACTCTGTATTGAGCAAAGGAGAAAGCTGCCTAACTCAGCTGTTTCAGCCCAGGACAGCTGAAGTAGCTGCCCTCTGTTCCAAAAGCACTCTCTTTCGGAGGAAGCCCTGGGAAAGCGGCAGTAAATTCCTGGCGGCAAAAATGTAGGTTCTACAGTGACAAGGCCAGATCCAGAGAAAAAGCCAGCAGTAAATTGGCAATTAGGTGGCAATGCGCACACCACTTCAGTAAGAAATGGTCACAAAAAGCATGTGTTTAGAATCGTAGCTAGTGCCAGTAAATATTCCCCTATATCTGAAGAACACTATGCACCAAAAAATTCCCTATAGCCAGGGTATTTATAGCCTCTTGTGACAAACTACAGTTGGAGACAAATGATGATGATGTTGTTTCCCCCCAGAGAGCAGAAGTATATTCCTTGTGGTGTGTACATTGGTTGAGCTTCTGCTCCTGAGAAAAAGGGGCTAAGCAGCTTTTTGCACAGTTCTAAAGACGGGCAAGGGACGTGGGTGGCGCTGTGGGTTAAACCACAGAGCCTAGGACTTGCCGATCAGAAGGTCGGCGGTTCGAATCCCCGCGACGGGGTGAGCTCCCGTTGCTCGGTCCCTGCTCCTGCCAACCTAGCAGTTCGAAAGCACGTCAAAGTGCAAGTAGATAAATAGGTACCGCTCCGGCGGGAAGGTAAATGGCATTTCCGTGTGCTGCTCTGGTTCGCCAGAAGCGGCTTAGTCATGCTGGCCACATGACCCAGAAGCTGTACACCGGCTCCCTTGGCCAGTAAAGCGAGTTGAGCGCCGCAACCCCAGAGTCGGCCACGACTGGACCTAATGGTCAGGGGTCCCTTTACCTTTACCTTTAAAGATGGGCAAAGGGTGGGGGGGAGGTACAATAAAGGAGATTCCGACGAAACATCAGGAAGAACTTTCTGACAGTAAGAGCTGCTCCAACAGTGGAATAGCCTCCCCCTCGGGAGGTTGTGGACTTTCCTTCCTTGGAGGTTTTTAAACACAGGTTGGATGGTTATCTGCCATGGATGCTTTAGTTGAGATTCCTGCATTGCAGGGGGTTGGACTAGATGACTCTTGGGGTCCCTTCCAACTCTTAGATTCCACCCAAATACCACCCTGGCGGCAAGGAACAGTCCCAACCCTGCTCTTGGCAGGATTGAACCTGGCAGCCCTGCCCATCTGCTGACATTGCCCAGTGATGATACAGGTAGGCCTGGTTGGGAGAAAATGGCCTTGTAGGTCCAATGGGAACCTATTATGGGCTAAGACTGGCCCTCAGGGGTCTCCCCCCCTCCCCCCACAACAGAGGTGGTGGTAGTGCAGAGGGACACAACTGAGAAGAATCCTGTGGTCACAAGGCATACTTTTGGAAATCGAAGAAGAAGAAGAAGAAGAAGAAGAAGAAGAAGAAGAAGAAGAAGAAGAAAGACGCTCCTTTTAATACAGGAACTGACCTCCAATTTCTGGTTCAAACTGCTCAGCTGAAATGGGGCTTCTTGGTTTTCTGTACATTTCTCCAAGCTGTGAGCTTTTTTTTGTTTTAATTGGTGCAGCTGTAGCTTTTCGTAGCTTTGTGTCAGCTTGGCAAACTGGAAGAGGAATGAACGTCACAAACGCCTTATTTTTTTGCCTCGGTTTTGGAGGTGTAATTGGCAAAGGCAGTTAAGCTTAAATGATCTAAACAGCCATCTAATCTGGGTTGCTGGGGTTTTTTTTTTTCCATTAAAAAAAGTACAGTTAACTTACGTGCATTCAAGTACAGCAACTTAACGTGCATTTAACTGGTGCGCATTCAGCTTTATGCACTTGGCAAATTAAAGAAAATAGGGAGGCAGAAAGGAAGGGGGCAACCAGGAAGAAAGTCTTTGGCAATCCCACCCCCCATTGAACCCAATACATTTCGATTATATTTGATTTTGGCTTTATGGTGCTATCCCAGGAATGCAATCCCAGCAGAAATTGAGAGCCACCTGTACCAGCTATTACAACTAAACAGTTAAGGGTGAACAAGCCAGTGCTTTCATACAACCTGTGATGTTAATTAACTGCACTTTTAAACACAGATTGCCTGGATATTTGTTTCATACTACCATGTAGAGTAGAGCTTCCCAAAATCTGCGTCATGACACGTTAGTGCATCGGCTGCAGTGTGTAGGTGTGTTGTGTGAACGCTCCCCCTGCTCCTCCCAGAGCTGGAAAGGGGCTAGTTTAACCTGTGGCTTGCTAGTAAAACTGATTTACTGTGTCGCAAAACAATGCATGTCTAAAAAGCGTGTGCCCAACATAATAAGTTTGGAAAGCTCTGATGTACACGGATTTCTTGCCTGGTTTTGTAGGAAGTGTTTTGCATCAGTGTAGCGCCATCTTGTGTTGGTGCTTTAATGGTTCTTCAGAGTTAGACAGCGGGGTTAACTACCGTATTTTTCGCTCTATAGGACGCACCGGACCATAGGACGCACGTTGTTTTAGAGGGGGGAGAACAAGAAAAAGAAAATCTCCCTCTCTCTGCCCAGCGCCCCTTCAGCGAAGCGGCAGGAGGCGCTGCGCAGAGAGGGGGAGAATTTCCCCCCCTTGTTTTCCCCCTCTAAAACAAGGTGCCGTTCAAGGTGCGTTCAGCTGCCTTCAGGTGGCTACGTTGGAAGCCTGGAGAGCGAGAGGGGTCGGTGCGCACCAACCCCTCTCGCTCTCCAGGCTTCAGGTTCCTTTCGACCTGCTCTTTGGGGCTGACGGGGGGAAGCCCAGTGGGAAGGTAAATGGTGTTTCCGCATGCTCTGGTTTCCGTCACAGTGTTATGTTGCGCCAGAAGCGGTTTAGTCATGCTGGTCACATGACCCGGAAAGCTGTCTGTGGATAAATGCTGGCTCCCTGGGCCTGAAAGCGAGATGAGTGCCGCAACCCCATAGTCTGGACTTAGCCATCCATGGATCCTTTACCTTTGTTTATAATTAGCAGCTTCAAGGCAAGCTGATTTTCACTGGGATGACAGCATGGAGTGGGGGTTGGGTGGGCACTCCCTGCACACCATGGTCCCAATCCAGAGCGATACCCCTCCCCATGGCAACTCTATCAACAGACAATAATCAGACGTGCTAAATGCCAATGTGCCCTTATCGTGATTGGGGCCTGTCAGGGTGGTCCAATGCATGGCCTGAGGGCCACATGCGGCCCTCAAGGCCTTTTTGGGTGCCCCTCTTCCACATTTGATGCCCCCTTCAGCCATTGCACTGCTTTTCCAAAGCCGGGTGAGCGAGACACTGGGCTTTGGGAAGGAGGCATGAGGGCTCTGACCGGATCCTGGATTGGAACCTGCCGCCTTCCCAAAGCCTAGTGAGCACTTCCCCAGCTTTGGGAAGAAGGTGGGAGAGCTCTGGGACTCTGCCGGAGCCTCGCACCTCCTTTCCAAGGCCTGGCACCTTGCTTAGCCAGCTTAGGGAAGGCAGTGGGAGGCCTGAGAGATGGGCCTCAAATTCTGTCCTTGCTCCCTCCCCACCCCACACGGCAAGACAGTGCACGGCCCACGGGTTTCGTGTCAAAGCACTCTTTTTGGTATGAAAAGTTGGGCTGCCCCGATGTACATACTTGAAAAATGTCGTCGAGAAAAGAACTTGGTTAAAATGAAAATTGTGGCAGGATAAGGGATACAGCGTGGGGGGAAAGGTGACACTGGGTTCATGAAACACCAAACAGCGGCTATCCAAATTTATTGTTCAAGGTGAGCTCGCTCAGAATTTTGGGAGGGCTGTTGAATTCATGTTCTGCTTGCAGGTTTCCCATAAGCATGTGGTTTGATCCTGCAGAAATCTTTTTATGGTCCCATGACCATTATAAAGTCGGGGGGGGGCGGTCGGTCGGGCTGGGACAAATACCAGGTGTTCTTGCAACAACAACAAAAGCTGCTTCTTTAAAATAAAAAAAAGTCACCTTTGTTATAAGTTTTAAGCCTGACACTTGTGTGGGGTGGGGGCTGCACTAAGCTGCATAAATGTGTCACTTGTTGAAAACTCCACTAGGGTTGGTGCAAGTAGCAGGAGAACACAGACAGTGTGCCTATATGCATGTGTATGCACACATCCTCTCTCTGTGTATATCCTGTGTTTGCACACATGAGGGAATGGGAAGGCTTATCAGCCCCTGGGCCCTGGCGGGTTTGGCGAGGATGAACTGGACCCTCAGGGCGAGAAAGATCAGCCGCCACCTGACTCAGTACATCACAATATAGGCAGTCATTGAGCTAGTAACAAAGCAGCCCGCAATCTACTAAACCTAGCTTGAAATATTATGAACTGTAAAATAGGAATGAGATTTCCCCTTCCTTACTTGATTCTTCAGGGCTTGAAGCTGCGTGTCATAGTTCTGAGCCATCTCATATTTTGTCTTTTGCAAACTGTCCAGTTTCTGCCTCAGTAGCCCAACCTGCATTGAAGTGGACATGAATCTTGGGCATCAAAAGAGTTCCAAAAGCCAAAGGAATTTTTAAAAGCATAAAGATATCACTGCTATAAAAATAACAAACATCATGCTATTAACATAAATTGCAAGTTAGAGGCACCACATAATACCCATTTCACGTGCTAAAAACATTTTTGTTTTGGCAAGCCTACCCAGATGCATGTTCTGATCCATTTTTGTTGGACTGCGAGAATTTTACGACAATTTGATCATAAAAGGAAATCTATGAATCTTCTGAAAAGTTTCACTTTCCCCCTACAAACCTTTTGCATTTGATTATAGCTCAAGTCGTTACATTATGTTCTGAAGCTGCCTGACCTCAGCCTAAGAGACTAAATCAAAATAAGTGGTTTTGAAGTCTGTGTCTGAAAGGCACACGGTGATAGATTGAGACCATATAAGAGTGCAGCTGAGATTATCCTAATCTAAGAGGGTTCTCACAATCTAGTAAATGTATTTTATTTCTTGTCTTTATGAGACTATAAAAATGCTACTAATTTTGCTTGTAATGAAAACAGGATCTTGGGGCAAGGGGATTTTCGTCAGGGCTATGTCAGAGCAGAAAGGGTTAAGCTCCCCCCCTCCATCCTATTGGCCCTGATCCTGCCTGCCTCTCCAGAGGCTTCTACTATAAAAACATTCATGCAATTGTTTGGCCTTAAAGAGTGCCTAGGAAGTTCTGAACTAGAGCTAATATATGTAGACATGAATGAAGTGCATGTCAAATCCTTGGGTATCACATGGGTACACATAGCACAATTCAAAAGCCATGCTGTAATAGCTGTTGAAATATACTCAGAGTCGCAAAGTGATTTCATGCTCTTTATTCAGCTCATAGTGGTGAGGAGGAATGAATGAATGTTCCCTCACAGTATCTGCTTTATATACATTATTTACACAATGGGCTGCACATGATTGGCTAATTCTGGAATTCTACTGTAAGCCAATCAGGTTGTGGATTCACTTCTATCTGGAGCAGGATTGGGTGGTTCCTGCCAACCAATCATACTGCTGCATTGTTCTAGGACCAATCAGACTGCTGCATTCTGAATCCTATTGTTCTAGGACCAATCAGACTGCTGCCTTTTGGATCCTATTGTTCTAGGACCAATCAGACTGCTGCAGTTTGGATCCTATTCAACTCAGTACATAACAGCTGTGCACTTCAAAACAATATATTTTGTTAGGAGTAGGAACAAGCCACCCCTCCTAATTTGGAACATTCTGCTGCTGCTGCCTTTAAATGCCCTTCCCAGATGGCAGATTTGCAAGGACAGCAATGGACATCCCAGCTGGAGATGGCTCCATTTTGATCAGGAGACAGGAGCCCTCCAAGCCAACAGAATGGATCTTCCATGTGATGTTGGATTTTCTGCAGAGCATCACCAGGAAAATACGAGTGCATCTTCAAAGAGAAATTTAAAGGCAATGGGCACCTGCAGATATGGTGCTGCTCAGGTATGTTGAGTTCTCAAAAGAAATGGGATAAGTATGGGGGAAAGGCAGGAGAACGATTTGATAGGCACCCCATACAAAGAACAAACAATGGGTGGCAAACGAACAAAATTCTAGAACAAATACCTAGTGTAGCAGCATACTTACTTTCTCTGAACCAAGCTTAGAAAGGAAGCAATTGCTCCTTCTGGGTTTCATACAAAAGAGTACTGATTAATACATCTGAAGGCGAGGTGAGTGAAAGGAGAAACTGGTGAAAAAGCTACCCCAATACATTTAATGCATTATTGCAATGGTTAGATATAAATGTGGGCTTAACTCCTTTGTAAAACTTTACGGCTGGGGCAGATGTCGGCTTGATTTCAGGTACAAGGTAGGTAGTTTTTCACAGTTTATTATAAATTGGGTGACTTGTCCAGGATGGTGGGTCATAGTGGGATAGCTGCAAAGGGAATGTCTATGCGTTGCAAATACCCATTGCCATTGCTTTTTTGGTAAAAAAATAAAGTAAAATAAAATAAGGTACTGGTATCTAGCTGGCAGCAAAATAATGAGACGATGGTACTCTGTGCCAGTGAGTAAAAAGGTAAAGGGACCCCTGACTGTTAGTTCCAGTCATGGCCGACTCTGGGGTTGCGGTGCTCATCTCGCTTTATTGGCTGAGGGAGCTGGCGTACAGCTTCTGGGTCATGTGACCAGCATGACTAAGTTCTGGCGAACCAGAGCAGCGCACGGAAACGCCGTTTACCTTCCCGCCGGAGCGGTACCTATTTATCTACTTGCACTTTGACGTGCTTTCGAACTGCTAGGTTGGCAGGAGCAGGGACCGAGCAACAGGAGCTCACCCTGTCGCGGGGATTCGAACCGCCGACCTTCTGATCGGCAAGTCCTAGGCTCTGTGGTTTAGCCCACAGCGCCACCCGCGTTCCCTATGCCAGTGAGTACCACCCCGCAAAAAGCACTGCTGCCAGGGTTTCAATTGATCTTGGTGCACTTTGCAAATAGACACACTGCACTCCCTGGCAGGATTCTAGTCTGCAAGGACTAGACCATCCGAGTCAGGATAGAGGGCAACTTTTGCCCTCACCACAACAGCCAGTTGCGTCACCCCATCCTGGGTTCCTGGTCATACCAGAGTGGCAAAATGTTGGGAACTGACATATAATACATAATACAAACACATGTATGTTACATCTGTAGACACCTAATTCCTCTCAGCTAAATCTATATGCAGTGAACAGATCTCAGGCATATTACTCTTTCAGATATGGATTGGATTTTGCAAGTTAGGGAATTCCCAGCTTCAAACCAGTGTCGTATATCCCAGCCGAGCCATTACATTCTACACATATACCCAAGACAGTGCAAAAGAGTTAGAAACTCAATTCTGATCTCACCATTCACAGAGGGTCTGGGATGGGGGTGGGGAGAATTATGTGTACTCAAATGTTCATGGCTGGGTACAGGATTAGAGCTGTTGATAAGTGCATGTATGTTAATAAAGTGAACAATTAAGTAGTACCTCCAGGTCAATGCTTCATTCACAAAACAGAAGGCGTCCCATACCTCTAGACCTTTCTGATCCAACCTGCTTTGGGCACTTGCCAATTCTTGATCCCGGACAGTCATTCGTGCTTCTAAAGCCTGCAATTTCTTTTCCCATTCTCGTTTCTTGTTGTTTACCATGATATCAATCTGATGCATTAATTCTTGAAGCTCAACATTGCAAGGGACGGATCTAAAAACAACAACAAAAGAGGTCTTTTTAAATGTACTGCATAGAACAGATTGAAATATTATTCTTCAGGCTATTTTTTCCCTCCAGTGAGCTCATATTCGACTTGAGAATAACTGAATGGCTTATTTTAATGGTTTTACCGAATGGCTTATTTTAATGTGTTTTTTTCCTTAGTCAATGTTTCCTTGGTCCAGTTTGGATGTAACACTAAACTGTCATTTGTTTAGCTGAACTACCAATGGATATCCTACTAAATTTTACTCCTAGTAAAACCCCTTAAAATTAATGAACACGCCTAAGATAGGTGAATTCATTTCAACAGACCTACTCTAAGTAAAATTTAAGTTGAATATCACCCTATGGTTTGGTTGTATATCGGAACCTAGGCCCTCTCACAAGCTATGGTTTGTTGGAGGCTGTAAAACCAGGATCTTAGATTTGAAGTTGTTTTATGAATCCTGGCTTGCTCTAACTGTGGCCTATCATTTACATCAACACTTGCTATCGTGGTGCAAACGCAATGTATTACAGTGCCTCGTCCTAGCTACCCACCTGGTGAGAAACATAAAGAGCAGCAGCTCAAAAATGAACCTGCCCATGTGAGTCATGGCCCTATCAAAAAAACACCCTGTCCCACCACACACTGGTTGGGCTACAGACTCCTTTCGCTCCATTCTTCTTGCTGGCATTACCAAGACAGCTTGGCAGAAGAGGGAATATGTCAGAGGAGTGCAGCAAATTTTTTTTGTAAGGGAACAGTTAGGGCCAGAGGGCCGGCTTGTGAGGGCGATTGGATTGATATGTGAGCATTTTGCCTCCCTCTCTAAACTGGACATAAGCTCCCTGGGGTTTGGGAAGGAGGTGCCAGGGCTCTGATTGAAACTGAAATAAATTGAAATTGAAATACTTTATTGTCACTTGTACAACTTGTATACAGTGAGATTACTCGCGCACCCCCCATTCAGCTCTCTTAGTCTTAATTCCCCTCGTTTACTGACGCACGCCCACCAAACCCAAAAGTCAGTTGCCCTGTTGTTATCTTTTCATTCAGCAGCCTAACAGCCCACGGATAGAAGCTGTTCTTTACCCTGTAGGTGCAACTAATCATGCTTCTATATCTTCTGCCTGAGGGCAGGGAGATCAAGAAAGTGCTGGCCAGGGTGTGAATCATCCCTGAGAATTCTCCTCACTCTCCTGAGGCAACGTTCTTCTGCTATTTCATCCAGCGGATTCACAGGACAGCCCATAATATCTTGTGCTGTATTCGCCACCCTCTGTAGGCACTTCCTATCAGATGATGTCAAACCAGCGTACCACACCGTGATGCAGTATGAAAGGACACTTTCTATTGTTGACCGGTAGAAGGAGATCATCAAATGTTGATTGACATAGTTCTTCCGCAATACTCTGAGGAGATGGAGTCTCTGTTGGGCTTTCTTAACCACTTGGGTTGTATATATTTTCCAAGTAAGGTCTTCACTGATAGGATGCTGGAGCCTGGCTGCCTCTTTCCTAAAGCCAGGTGGTATTTGGGAAGGCACCTGGACCCCTTTGGAGCATCACACCTCCCTCCCTAAGCCAGGCAGAAGCTCCCCAGGCTTTGGGAAGGAGGCACCAGACTTTAATACATTAATTTACTCTAATTTACCCCTATTTAAGGAACTTGCTTAGTCCCCCTAGTCCACTGACTGTGTGCCACTGGTATATGTGGAACTTCTCTGCCACCCCTACAGTGGATAGAAAGGAAATGCCTATTAAGTGGTTATTAGATGCCATATGGTGAACAAGGTTTTATCCGGCCCTGTAAACGCTCCAGATGTGTCCCCCCAAAAATTGTCTTTAGAAAAGAGACACATGTCAGCTTGCATGTGCCCAAGTGCTGGTCCTTTTGCCTGACCAGATTCACCTCTCTCAACCTGCCTGCAACCCGCCTTGTGTTTTGATGGGGCCTCCAGATCAACAGCCCTCACATCATCTGCCTGGGAACGCTGCAATTAAGAGCAGAGTTAAACAGGGCTGCAGGCCCCAGTGCCAAATCTCCTTGGCATCCTCTCTGTCAGGGATCCTGAACTGTGCTTTCAACAGTCACAGCGGGGCTCTGTTTGCTCACCGGGTCAGACAGCAAGCTGTGTGCGGACAAGACCTGCTGTGGAAATGTGACAGCACAAAATGGAATGAATTAAAGCAGTTGAGTATGCTAGGAAAGAGGGGAAAGAAGAAGCAGCCCTGCTAGGAGAACATGCAATTTGCTAAAACTATGCTGTCGAACCTACAGTTGCTTTCATACCCCTGTGGAGTAGCTTTCTCACAAAGGAAACTGCTCCAGAGGCCAGGAATGAAGGTGGCCGTGGATTGCTGCAGGAAATTGCCATATCACTGACATAATTCCTGCCTTTTCACCCGTATTCCTTTAGCTTTTATATGTGAGCAATGGGTTCTTGCAAGTGGCAACAGGTTAGGAAGGGATGGGCAGCTTTGCCCTTTGTTGTGATGCTGAAGCCTCTGGCAGTGATTGAACTAAGCTGCCTTAAGGTTAAAGAGGGGCAAGAGGGGCAGAAAGGGGTCTGGGTGTTCTTACTGGTTGAGCTGCTCAGGTTGTACAAAGGAATAGGAGCAGGGCGGGCAGAAGAGCCACAGGGAAAGTAGTGACAGGAGGAGAGGCTTAGGGAGGGAGGATGCAGTAGGCAGGTGAACTGAGGCTGGATAGGCCAGGGAAGGAGAGCATTAAGAGGGAGTGGTCCAGTGAAACGAGAGGAGGCAATGTAGGGAAAGTATATGCCTAGCCTTCTCTGAAAGGTACCAAATTATAGTTACCAGATTTTTTTCAAAGAATCCAGGGACACTTTTTTTTTTTAAAGAGAAAAAGTTATTTCAAAAAATTATTTTTTTAAAAAAAATAAGAAGTAATCTCTTCCCTTCTGTAGTCTCCTCTGTCGCATGGCTTTCCTCCGGGCCCCAGCCTGCTCTCTTGGAGCGCTAGCTGCTGTGGAGTAGGCTTGGGTTGGGCCTGGGCTCGGCCACATGTCCTTGCCCTCCCGGTGCTCTCCTACCTCTCCTCCTCAGCAGCAGTGGCGCGGCAAGGTCGGGGGTCCTCTCTTTTTTCTCCTTCCTCTTTCTCTCTCTTCCTTCTCCTCTCCTCCTTCTCCCTGCGTCGGTTCCGGGGTTTTTACTGGCCCCAGAGCGCCGCTGGGCAGTCGGCCAGGTGACAGAGCGCTCTTGCTCCCGGCTCAATTTGGGTCGCGGGGTGTGTGTGTGTCAGCGGTTCCCCCAGTTGATGCACCGGGTGTCCCTGGTTCCCCCTTGGCAGTGGCAGTCTCAGCAGCCAGCCTGGTGGCGCAGCTGGCTCTGGCTGGCTTCAGGAGCTGCCCGCTGCCTTGGCGCCTGCCATTTTGCCTTGCCGGAAGTCCCCATATGATGTGTCTTGTGCCGTTGAACCAATCACGGAACATTCATTCCCTACTAATAAATATACAACATTTAAAATATAAATCCGGGGACATTAAATGAAATCCGGGGACATTCTGGGGACGGATTTTGTCCGGGGACAGATTTGTAAATCCGGGGACTGTCCCCGGGAAACGGGGACGTCTGGTAACCAGGCATCTACAGTTTAAAAGATATCTGGTAGCAGGTGATGTGAAAGATCTCTGCATGAGACCTGGAGAGTTGCTAAAAACAAACAAACAAACAAACCAAACCAAACCAACCAACCAAAGACACTAATCTGTCAGCGTAAGCCATCAGGAAATATCGACATTCAAAGAAAAAGGTGTATGTTGGAAGTGTGATGAAAATGAGGGATCTTTCTTCACACGTGGTGGCCCTGTAAAATAATTAAGGAAATTTGGGAAACTATATATAATGAATTAAAAAGGATACTTAAAAAAAACTTTCCCAAAACCCCCCTGAGATTTTCCTCAGCCTAGAGCAATTAGATATATTTTAATTTAGGTAATCTATGTAATAGGCTTATGTTAGGAAATGAATATGGATTTTGAATTTGATGTTTGTATTTTTTTTGGTTTCGAAATCTTTTTTTAAGGGAGGGGGAAACTTCCTCTTGGGGATGGTAACAATGTAACCCCCCAAAAAAACACACACACACACAAAAGGGTTTATGATTATATGCCACCGCAGCAGCTAGAACCTTACTGGCACAAAGGTGGAGAACAAGTATAGTACCCACTAAGGAAGAATGGCAGTGTAAAATGTTCGAATATGCTGAACTGGCTGGTCTGACGAACAAGATAAGTGAAAATGAAGATAAGGAATATAAGGAGGAATGGATGTTTATTGAATATTTTAAGAACCAGTATAAACAAATACACAGCTTAGCAGGTCTCGAGTAAATCCAGCAGAGTTGAAATAGATAAAAGAGCTTTTAATAGACAACAAATTGAATGATTAAAAAGATGTGGATTACCCGGAGTAGTAGAAAAGCAAAGGAACCAGGAAAAGGGTGGAAGTGAAGTCATATGGTATATGTATACATGCTGTATTTGGTACCAAGTTGTAGGTAGGACAGGGGGAGGGGGAAGGAAGGGGGTTAAAGATGCTCTCTGTTCCTGTTTTTGAAAATGCAAACAGAAAACCAAATGAAAAGAGAGAGAGAGGAAGTATCGACAGTCAAGTCTGTGATGTTCATAGCAGACAGAAAGTTTGGTGTGCTGCCGACAGGCATATTTGCATTTAATCTTCACTTGCATGAACAATGAAACAGTGCTACTATGCCAGAAAAGAATCTTTATATTTGTTCCTTTGAACAAAGATGATTAGATGGTTTGTTAATTTCCCCACCAAAGTGACTAGTTTGCTCCAGGTTTTTGTGGGCACTTGGGCAAGAAAGTATCTTTGGTTCCCCTAAAACATCACTTTTTTGCCACCTCTGCTTCCTCCCCGACAAACTCCCCACCCTCCTCATCTAACCGCCCTCCTCCAACCATTGCCCTAGATTGAGAGAGAGAATGAGTTTTGAATGATCAGGAACTGCAAAGGTAAGAAACGATGTTTTCACATGCTGATTTGCAAATAACCAGCCCAATCTTTGACTCTGGGAAATTAATTGTATTGAATCACTTTAAAACTGCAATCCCACGAACACTTACATCAGAGTAAGTCTCAGCAGGGCTAAATCAACACGCATAGCTTCATGCCGTGCTGCTGATAAACATTGCAATCAAAATGTCAAAAAGACAAAGGTGGAATATAGACACATATAAAAAACGTTGTGAAAATGTTTTTTTACAAAAAAGTTTTGAAAAAATATATTGAATTTGCCATAGGTCACCATCGCCATCTAGTGTCATGTTTGTATAATGTACTTTACAACACACTTAAAACATCTTAATTGTGTATAGCTGAGCCCAAAGAAATCTCAAGCAGGTTGATGACATCACTTCTGCAGAATTTTTTTATTTTTACTTTTAAAAAGTGTCCTCTTCATGATACAGTAATCCTATTCTGTTTACATAAGGGTTCCGAACTACTCTAATTAGGTAATGATTTTAAAAAAGCTTTCCCAACAATAGTCTTTCGTCAGGGGTGAGTTTTACAGTGCAGTTTCCAGATCGTAACATTTTCTAATTGGAAAGGTTATGCATGCTAAAGGTTTTAAACAAAAGACACCTCTACTGCTTTGACCAGGCCTGAAAAGTAATTTCAATAAGAAATGTAGGTCAATTAGGGGTGCACTCTTCATTAAAAGCAGTAAGTTGCACTACCGCTTCATGGTTTGCCTAATAAACGAAATCGTTAACTCATCAGTGTCAAGCGTCATGGTATGGCTAAGAACAGGTTTATTATGTTTTACCACAAATGATTAAGTGATGTCTGTTTTTAACTTTTTAATATGGTTTTCTTGGTACTGTTTTATTGTTATAAATAGCTTTGATTTTTTTAAATGACATAGTGGTATATAAATATTTTTGTAAACAAACAAACAAGGTGGCCATTCCTGTTCAATATAGTTGCTGCCTGAGCAGTCTAGGCCTGGTGTTTCTTTATGAGATAAGCAGTAATGAAGAATCAAAAGACCACAGAACTTTGAAATCTTGAAGTGTAAGGTTTTAAGTTCTACATCATATTTAGCATACAGGTGTAAATAAGATAAGATAAATCAGGAACGACCAGGAAATTATTATGCGTCAACCTACCTAGTCATCATTTGTTCCTGAAGTGCTTCTATTTTCTTCTCCATTTTAGCATTTCTCCAATCTATTAAGAACATTTTGGGGGCAGGTGGGTTAATGTTTTCCCCCTTAATTATTCATTTACATAGAAGACTCATAGTTAAAAGGAGAGACCTGAGAAACAGCAGTAACAGAGTACAAGAGTCTTACTCTCAGGGTTGTGAGTTTGAGTCCCGTGTCAAACAAAAAATTCCTACATTGGGGGACTAGATGACGCTCATGGTTTGTTCCAACTCTATAGTTCTATGGTTCCAAGTGCAAACATGCCAGGCCAGAGGGGTGGGAATAGGGCTGTTTGCTGTGGCTTAACTGTTAAGCTAACATCAATGTGCACGTAATATGTGGTCTTCAACTGATGGGACTATTAATCTGCTTTGGAAATATCTTGACACTAAAGGGTGGGGCATAACTTCATTAAATAAATAAAACATCCAGCCCAGTGGTGGATTTGTGCCTGATCAGAAACTGACGGGTCAGGTAAAGCAGGGAGAGATAAAATTCTCACCGCTTTGCAGAATGAGCTAGTCACTATGTGGCATCATAGAATCTTAGAGGTGGAAGCGCACCCAGGAATCTCAATGAAAGCATCCACGATTGCCTGTTTTCAAACGGTGAAAAAAGGATCCCCTCAAGAGATCTGTGCGAGTCTCTGATAGTCTTTTGGAATCCTCTAATCTGGTGATTTCATTAGCAAAAGCTATACGGTCGTACCTTGGAAGTCGAACAGAATCCATTCCGGAAGTCTGTTCGACTTCCAAAACGTTCGGAAACCAAAGCTCCTGCAGCCAACCGGAAGCCGCGGAAGCCCCGTCAGACGTTTGGCTTCCAAAAAAAGTTCGAAAAGCGGAACACTCACTTCAGGAGCCAAAATGTACGAGTACCAAGGTGTTCAACAACCAAGGCAGGCTTTGTGAGATGGCTTTTGGGAGGCTGCAGTTTTACGTATACAGTGGTACTTCAGGTTAAGTACTTTATTCGTTCCAGAGGTCCGTACTTAACCTGAAACTGTTCTTAACCTGAAGCACCACTTTAGCTAATGGGGCCTCCTGCTGCCGCTGCGCCACCGGAGCCCGATTTCTGTTCTCATCCTGAAGCAAAGTTCTTAACCTGAAGCACTATTTCTGGGTTAGCGGAGTCTGTAACCTGAAGCGTATGTAACCTGAGGTACCACTGTACTCTTTAACTGGAAATATGTCCTGTAGAAACCGCGGGAACCTATTCATGTTCTGAGTTAAACAGACGCAGAATTGAGCTGCCAAGCAGCATGTCACTGGGGTATACTGATGTGACAATAATTAGCATTTATAGTGCAAACGGGGGTGGGGGGGTGGAGGCTGACAGAGAAAACAGCTTAGTCTAAGGCTACCTAGCGAGTCAGAAGAGCCAAAGCTCAATGGAGCGTGTTAAATGAAGAAGGTCCTGGGTTCAATTTCTGCTCTCTCCAGGGATGGGGGCAGGAACCCTGTTTGAAACCCTTGAGAGCAGTTCCCAGTAGACCATACTATGCTAGATGGACCCATCGTTTGACTTGGTACAAGGCAGCTGTCTGTGAACATCGAGGGGCATACCTTGTCCTGGAGTATGTAGGACTCCAGGGGGAATGTGCTTCTGAGCATATACAGAGGGGATTCCTCAGTTCAGACTCAGTCAGTGAGGCAAACCTATGACTTTCCAAATGTTAAACTACAACTCCCACCAGCCCCAGATGGCTAATGGTCGCTGATTAAGGGAGCTGGAATCCAATGTAAGAACATAAAATGAACCTGCTGGATCGTGTCAATAGCCCTGCCAGTCCAGTATCCTGTTCTCACAGTGGCTGACTAGAGGCCTGAAGCAGGATGAGAAGGGAACAGCACTCCGCCGCAACAAAACTGCTAGCACATTTGCAAAGCTAAGCAGGGTCCTGTATGGTTTCCAACTGGATGGGAGACTGCGTGTTGAGATCCCTGCATTTCACGGGGTTTGACTAGATGACATTCAGGTATCCTGCCAACTCTCCAACTCTGATTCTATGATTCCCAGCAACTGATACTAGCATTATGTAGAGTGCCACAGATGGACCCTCCCTGCTCTCAACGGTCTGCCATGGAAAATGTGGGAAAGGGTGGAATGGTTCCTCTGAGCATATGCAGAGGGGCCTTTCCCCCCCCAAACTTTCTCCATACTCAACCCTGGAGCAAGTGGGAAAGGAAGAGATAAAAAAAACAGCCTCTGAGCATGCACCGAACAGCTTTGTCCATCCTCTCTCAGTATGCCGCCAAGGTGCACGTGTGGGAATGTGAGGCAGAGGGGAAGTGCCTCTGAGCATACCTAGAGGGGCTTTTCTTGCAGGATCTCACTACTCTGCCCAGAGCATGTGGGAAAGGAAGGGCGCCTCTGAGCATATGCAGAAAGGCTTTCTCCAGCCTCTGTTGGTACTCCGCCTTGGGGAAGGAGAAGCAGAGAAAATGCCTCTGAGCATGCACAGAACAGCTTTCTCCAGGCTCTCTCAGCACTCTGCCCTGGAGCTGTGTGGCAAAAGGAGGAAGGAAGTGTGCCTCTGAACATACACAGAGGGCTCTCTCCAGGGGTCTTGACCCCTACGGTTATGAGCATAGCTAGAGAGGCTTCCTCCAGATAGTCAATAGCTCTGGAGCACGCAGAAACCGGGCAGTAGAAAGAGGGCCTCTGAGCATGCACAGAGTGCCTTTCTCCAGAGGAAGACTCCCTGCCTCCCGCAGCCCTAAATGCACAGCGCTCAGAAACCTAGCATGAATGGGTGGGTGGGGGCCCGCTTACCTTGCCCCTTCCCCTGCTGCTGCTGCTACTGCGAGCCGCGGCTGCCCTCGCTCTGGCGGGGAAGGAGCCCGTCCGCCCCGCCGCCCTCCTGCCCTCCCGCCGCGGCTGCCGCCTCGCGCAGGCCCCGCCCCCTCCGCCCGGGCGGCAGTTGCGGGGAGGGCCCGGCTAGCTTCTCCCGTTGCCGGGGCAACGGGGCGGCCTAGGGAAGAGCCTCCGCGAGCGGAGGGAGGAAGCAGGCCTGGGGAATCCCCCGACGTTGGAGGAGGGGCCAGAGCGGAGGGGCGGGGCCTGAATCAGAGGAGGGGGCGCCCTTCTCCCGTTTGCCTGTGTGCCAAATATGCACTGCAAGAAAATAGACTTTGGTAGCTCTCTCACTGCAGATGGTGACAGCAGTCACGAAATTCAAAGACGCCTGCTTCTTGGGAGAAAAGCAATGACAAACCTAGACAGCATCTTAAAAAGCAGAGACATCACCTTGCCGACAAAGGCCCATATAGTTAAAGCTATGGTTTTCCCAGTAGTGATGTCTGGAAGTGAGAGCTGGACCATAAAGAAGGCTGATCGCCGAAGAATGGATGCTTTTGAATTCTGGTGCTGGAGGAGATTCTTGAGAGTCCCATGGACTGCAAGAAGATCAAACCTATCCATTCTTAAGGAATCAGCCCTGAGTGCTCACTGGAAGGACAGATTGTGAAGCTGAGGCTCCAATACTTTGGCCACCTCATGAGAAGAGAAGACTCCCTGGAAAAGACCCTGATGTTGGGAAAGATGGAGGGCACAAGGAGAAGGGGACGGCAGAGGACGAGATGGTTGGACAGTGTTCTCGAAGCTACCAGCATGAGTTTGACCAAACTGCGGGAGGCAGTGGAAGACAGGAGTGCCTGGTGTGCTCTGGTCCAATATTGACATCCTGGGCATCAGTGAACTAAAATGGATGGGAATGGGTGAATTCAGCTCAGATGACCATATCTACTACTGTGGGCAAGAATCCCGTAAAAGAAATGGAGTGGCCTTCATAGTCAACCTCTGCTTAAAACCCTCCAAAGAAGGAGAGTCCACCACTTCTCCTGGGAGTCCACTGTTGAACAGCTCTTACAGTCAGAAAGTTCTTCCTGATGTTGAGTCAGAACCTCCTTTCTTCCGTGTTCCTTTCTAGTAAAATAAAGCGATTTTTATCTCAAGCATTCCAGACTGCCAGAACCCTAGGGTACCCTAATTATTTAGCAACTGACAAAGATTAGTTTTATCTCATTGCACCGAGGTCTTTAAAGGGAAGCAGGGCTGATAGCAGCAAAGGGAGATGAGCTCAAGACTGGGGACTCGGTTTCTCTTTGTTTTGTTTCCAGAGTGACATCATGCTGCTTTTCTTGTCTGTTGCTATTTCCGTGAAAACTGCAAATCTCTGATAAAAGATCCCATCAGTTCCAGGTCTATGAAGGGGAGCGAGGGAAATCTTGGACAGCTTTTAAAGTGATCTTATTCCCCTCCAACAAACTTCAGGTTTCCCCCTAAGTTTGCCACCCCCTTTCCCCCCTGTAGCCACCACATTCCTCCAGCTCAGGACGGGGCAACAGAAGAGGGAGGTGAGCATATAGGGAAATAAGGGGGCAGGAGAAGGATTAAGCATCCCTCCAGCAGCAGCACCCTTACCACCCAGCGCCACTTTTTAGACTGTGTCAAATTCAGGTCTTTGTCAAACAACACGGCCCCATCTGCACTGTAGATTTAAAGCAGTATCACACCACTTAAAAAAGCCCCTCAAGAATCTTGGGAACTGTAGCTTGTTATTTGCTTATTTGCTCTCAGCAAGCTATGTAAAGACATAAGAAGACCAAACTGGATGAGGCCAATGGCCCGTCTGGTCCAGCATCCTGTTGTCACAGTAGGCAGCCATAGATGCCTGTCAGAACTGGGCAAGCAGGATCTGAGCACAAGAGCCCTCCGACTGTGAAGGCAGAGCATAGCCACTGATAGTAGCCATGGATAGAGTTATCCCCAATGGATTTTTCCAGTCATTTTTTAAAGCCATCCAAGCATTGCAAGGGGCTAGACTAGATGACTCTTGGGGTCCCTTCAAATCCCCCCGGTTTACTATCCCTAGTACTTCAAGACTCCCATAAAAGTGCCTGGCTTAAAACCGTCTATCAAAAACTTCACTCTTGTGGCCTATCCCCACAACACCTACTCACTATGGGCCTCACTAAAGAAAACAGTCTAATTGGTCAACGTCTAAAAGATATCAAGCATCAGAACAACCCGGCCACTATAAGGAAATTCTGCCCTTCGTATGTCCAGTTTCCACCTCTCCATTTTGATTTTCTGGCTCCATATCTGCACAAGCTTATTATCCCAAAATACAGACGTGCTTTTACACTTGCAAGACTGGATGCTTTGCCATCTGCGGTACTTGAGGGTCGATTCCAAAAGATCCCGCCTGAGAAACGTCTTTGCCCCTGTGGAGACGGTAGCACCGAAACAGCGGCACACGTCCTCCTGTCCTGTAGTCTCTACAAAGACCTGGGGAACGAGATCATCACCCCACTCGTACTAACATCCCAGGGCGCTCAACCACTGCCACAATGTCCTTTCTTCTATCAGATCAAAATGAGCAGATAACAGCAAAGGTTGCTAGGTTCATAGCAGGGGCAATCAGAATAAGGGCCACTAACTGACTGCTGATTCAGGACTTTAAATTGTGCTTTTATATCAAATTTCCTTTTCTGCGTATACTGTAGTTTTATCTCTTTCTCACTTGGGATCCCTTACAACTCTACAATTCGATGATTCTAAGTTGGCTGGCCATCACTGGCTCCAGTGGGAGGAAGTTCCATAGTTTAACTAGGCCCTGTCCTGAATCTTCCAACATTCAGCTTCACTGGATGGGTTCTAGAGCTATGAGAGAGGGAGAGAAACAATTTTTTCTGTACACTTTTTTCCATATGATGATGATTTTATAAACTTATTTTATGTTAGCTTTTCTCCAAACTAAAAGATCTCAAATGCTCCTAGAAGTACAGTAGTACCTCGGGTTAAGAACTTAATTCGTTCTGGAGGTCCGTTCTTAACCTGAAACTGTTCTTAACCTGAAGCACCACTTTAGATAATGGGGCCTCCTGCTGCTGCCACACCGCCGGATTACAATTTCTGTTCTCATCTTGAAGCAAAGTTCTTAACCCGAGGTACTATTTCTGGGTTAGCACAGTCTGTAACCTGAAGCGTATGTAACCTGAGGTACGACTGTATAGTGTCCAGATCAAAGGAAGTAATTGTTGTTGTTGTTGTTTAGTCGTGTCCGACTCTTCGTGACCCCATGGACCAGAGCATGCCAGGCACTCCTGTCTTCCACTGCCTCCCACAGTTTGGTCAAACTCATGCTGGTAGCTTCGAGAACACTGTCCAACCATCTTGTCCTCTGTCGTCCCCTTCTTGTGCCTCAATCTTCCCAACATCAGGGTTTTCCAGGAGTCTTCTTCTCATGAGGTGGCCAGAGTACTGGAGCCTCAGCTTCACGATCTGTCCTTCCAGTGAGCACTCAGGGCTGATTTCCTTCAGAATGGATAGGTTTGATCTTCTTGCAGTCCATGGGACTCTCAAGAGTCTCCTCCAGCACCATAATTCAAAAGCATCAATTCTTCGGAAGTAATAGTAGTGCTCTATTCAGTCAGATCCCACCTGGAGTCCTGTGTCCAGTTCTGGGCACCACAATTTAAGAAGGATGTTGACAAGCTGGAAGGTGTGCTGAGGAGAGCAACCAAGGTGATCAAGGGTCTGGAAAGCAAGCCTGATGAAGGAGCTGGGTATGTTTAGCCTGGAAAAGAGGAGACTGATAGGAGATAGGATAGTTACCTTCAAATATCTAAAGGGCTTCCACATGGAAGATGGAACAAACTTGTTTTCTCCTGCTCTGGAGGGTAGGACTCAAGCCAATGGCTTCAAGTTACAAGAAAGGTGTTTGGCAGTGAAATGGACACTCTTGGGAAGTTGTGGTGGACTCTCCTTCCTTGGAGGTTTTTAAGCTGAGGTTGGAAGGCCATCTGTCATGGATGCTTTAGTTGAGACTCCTGCATTGCAGGGGGTTGGACTAGATGACCCTCAGGGTTCCCTTTCAACACTATGATCCTATGAATGTTCTCCAATAGTTCAAGAGCAGCCCCAGAAAAGATGTGGGTGGGGGATTAAAGAAATATATCACCAGAAAATTATTTTTGACTCAGTTTGTCAGGGAACAGCTGCTCACTGCTCACTCTACAATTCTATTATTATTGTCCCACTGCTATTTTTGTAAAACAACAACAAAACAACAACAACAACAACAATAATAATAATTTATTTGTACCCCGCCCCTCTGGCTGGGTTTCCCCAGCTACTCTGGGTGGCTTCCAACAAAGATTAAAAATACATTAAAATGTCACACATTAAAAACTTCCCTGAACAGGGCTGCCTTCAGATGTCTTCTAAATGTCAGGTAGTTGTTTATCTCTTTGACATCTGAAGAAAAGATGGGTCCAAGCTGCTTGCTTTTGTATGTGTTCATCTCTTTTTCTCATTATGTCACATATACATACCATCTCCCCCCCCCCCCCGCCACCCGTGGTATGGAAACATAAATTTTATGGGCTGCGTATTATTTATGGGCTGTATTATTATTCCCATTCTACTCTCTCCATTTTCGAATGGCAATTGAAATTGCCACCTAAATATGTTCTTAAGCTGCTCAGAGGGCTTTGAAAATAGTGACCCAGAGGTTGAATACCATCAGCAACCAGGAATACATTGCCTTTTCATTACAAGAAGAATTTATGAAAGCAGACGAGGGAAGCAGAATCGGAGATCAGCAAGGAGGCTCTGTGATCTGCGAATAATAACACTCTTTTGTCCACCAGAGTTTGAAAAATCTTCAGCGGTGCCCCAGATCTCATACTCTGGGTACAGAGTTAAAAATAAAGCCGCTTCTGGGTGAGTCGAATAGCCATGCCTTGTTCACACACATTTTATGAGGGATCCAAATGACCTCTCTATCCTTGAGTAATCAGCCTCTTTTCTCAACAACCACCCCCTGTTCTCGCCCACCACAGAAAAATGCAACATTTTAAAGGAGCAGATCTATAGTAGAATCTCC